ATTTCTGAGAGATTCCAAGTTCTGTATCCTTTTTACTGAGGTACAGCATGGATATGAGAAATATGCTTGTTACAAGCATACGACTTGATGAATGTTCCAGATCAAGGGGAGAACAGTAGCAGCTCCCAGAAGCCTTCCTGTGTGCCCTTCGCCTCAAAACAGCTGCTAGGAGTAGCTAGCTTCTGACACCATAGATTAGTTTTGCTTGTTTTTCTCCAAACTTTACATAAAGGAAATTATGTAGTATACATTCTTCTGTGTGAGGCTTCTTTCTTTCAGTATTGTAAGATCTATCACACGATTGCATGTAGCAGTAGGTGGTTCCTTTTTATTGCTCTGTGTTTTTCCATTATGTTAATATGCTACATTGTATTTATCTCCTCTGCCAATGCTGGGTATTTGAGTTGTGTCCAGCCTGGGCCTGTTTACAGCAGTGGTGCTGTGAGCATTCTTGTGTGTGTCTAGAAGAGGAAGATGTGTGTTTGCCATTCTGTTGGGCACATGGGTGAGATTGCTGAGTTACAGGGTATGTATAAGTTGATCTGTTTTCCAAAGTGGTTGCATCAAATTGCACCCTCACCAGCACCCGATAGCGTCTGTTTTGGTCCAGCCATTATGAACACTTATCACATGGCGTTTTTAATTTCCACTTCCCTGGTGACTGATGAAGTCAAGGACCTGGTCATGTACTTTATTGGCCATTTGTGAAATACCTGTTCAAGTCTTTTGTCTGTTTTTCTGTTAGTTGGTCTGCTTTTTTTCTTACTCATTTTTAAGTTCTTTTATCTTCAGGAGACTTCCAGCAAGCGTCTAAGAATTCAAATCCATCTATAGCTGTTCTGTCCTGCCTCAGCATTCTGTGAGCAGCACATCCGCCATTTGTTTCCTCCACCTTTCCTCTATGATGTCCTTTCTGTTTCTCTCTAGTCTTTCCAACTAAAAGGTCTAGGGTGTACTTTCTCTCCCCGGTTTGTGGGTTTCCATGCAGCCACCTATCTTCTAGCTCTGTGATGTAACTCTGCTCCTTCCCTTGGTACCACATCATCAGTCCTGGCCTGTGGAATCTCTTCAATGTCATTGGTTTGTCCTAGTGAGTTCACTTTATTGCCCTACTTTTAATTTGCATTTATCTTTTAAGTTGATTTATTTACGTGAGCCATTTTCCTCTTATAAATTTGCTTGGAAAATGTGAGCATCTTCTGAGATCCAGTCTTTTCTGTGTGAAGGCTGGATTTTGTAGATGGCCCCAGCTTTTTTATATCATTCCTCAGTTGCCAGTAGTTATGGTATTGGCTGCAGTCCAAATACAGGGACACTCCTTAGAGTGTACACTCCTTAGTGTATTCCTTAGAGTGACTCCCCCGCATCCTCCTCCTTCCTGCCCTGGTGGACCGGGCGAGCAGCTGGGAAGGCATAGCCTGAGGGCTGGTGTCCAGCCCCTGCCTCCTCACCAGGGTCCTTCTTGCCCATGCCATCTCCCACCTCCAGGGATCGAACAGTGCTATCCAGAACGTCCCCCAGAATCAGCCTCCTGAATAGGCCCGCCCTCACCCCTGCCAGGTGTCCGCCTGGGCTGGTGCCAGAGGAACGGGAGGAAAAGGCAGGGCTCCTGCCTGAAAGGAGCCCACTGGCTGGGGCTGGGGGCTGGGAAGGCTGTCTGGGAGCTCACCAGGAGGCGTGTTCATGGAGATGGAGACGCAGCACTAGCGTGAGGCATGAGCAGTCACACGCACGCAGGTCACGCCAGCGCCGAGAGGCCGGGTCCGGCCACAACTGCTCTGTGGGCAGCCCAGAAACATGGATTCTGACTCACAGGTGGCAGGGCCTGATTGGAGAGAAGCGGGGATTGATTTCTGTCTGGTGGGACTCTCTTGTGATGATGCTTGTGATTTGGAGGAGTAGACCGTTGACCCCAGCATGGTCTCAAGGAAGGCAGTATCCACCTGGGAATCTCATCTCTTAACTGTATCAAATGATGATACCTGAAGCTGAGGGCTTACTAAGCATGGCTTGTGCGTGACATACTGTCCCAGGACTTTGAGGTTGCGATGACCTACACCTCACAATGATGCTAGGATGTGACATTGCCATTAACAGTCCCAGTTTTGAGATGGGGTAATGGAGGCACAGGGCAGACTCTCTAAGTCTCATAGCTAGCAAGGGCTTCAAACCCAGGGGCCTACCCAGTGCGCCTGTGCACATTTGATTCCTTTCAGTCCCAGCCCAACCCAGCCAGGTGGCTTTTACCATCCCCTTTCCAGAAGGGAAAGAGTCTTTCCACATTTCCCAACCAAGTAATGGCTGGGTGGGACTCAGATCTGTGTCTGTCTCAGGCTTCTTCATAACAGAACAGGCACAGGTAAGAATTAAAAAAAAAACAAAAACAAAAAAAAGCCCAAACCCATGTTCTTGGACATTTATCTGTGGCTCAATATTTATTCCCTGTAAGCAATCACATATAGATTAAGGAAATGATGCCATTGATCATTTGTTTGTTGACTTTAAGCCTAATGGTTTTGCCTGCAGTCGGCTGCCCAGTCGTGCCTGGCACCCACTCGGCTCATCCAGTAAACCTTTTTTTTCCCGCTGCATGGAGGGTGTGGCCCAAACGGCACAACTGAGTTCTAGAATGACTTGGGCACTCTGTTGTGTTCAGGCTGTCATGGGAGTAGTTGACATAAAACCTAAAGTAGAATCTGACATAAAAAGTCTTGTTGTCTTCTGTAAATATCCTAATTGCAATGACTCATATAATCTCTGGGTTATGCAAAGTAATGCCTTCGTTTTGCTGTGTTTATTATCCTGACAAAAACGTGCGAGTACTAAAACTCACCCCTGAGTGAACAGGCAGGGAGTGCTGCTCAGACTTGATAGACAGATGGTGGTGACACACGTGATGGATGCACCTGCTTGGCCAACTGCTCCTGGCTCTCCGTGGCCTTCCCAGGCCCTGTCCTGAGCACCACCAGCTCTGCCCTCAGGCCCTGCCCTTGGTTGTCTTCACAGCCGGGTCATCGTTGCAAGTGTTTGGCTGTCTGTCTCTTTCCAGTGTAAGTTACGTGAGGGCGAGATGTGGTCCACCATGGTCTGGAAGAGACGCTCAGCAGGTTTGCCAAGCCCACAGGCATTGCCTGGTGGGAGAGGGTAGTTCATGCCCTCTCGGAGCAAGAAAGAGAGCGGAGTGGCCCCTCCAGTCCCTGCTGAGCTCCCCCCACCCTGCCACCTGCTATCCTGGCTCTGCCGCCTCCTACCCCAGCCTGGCGGCAGGTTTTCTTCTCTCAGTGACCGTGGATATGTGGAAGAGTGGATGAACTGTGCATGGGGAACCCAGTTCTATTCATCCCCCTGTGTGATGCAACTTAATCATGGGGGAAAGAATCTGTCTGTAAAACACTATTTCTCCATTATCTGAGCCAGAAGCATGATCATCTAATAATAGTTTAAATTGGGTGTTTCTTTATCAGGTCTTCTTCATGTAAATTAAAGCTATAAGATGGGCAGGAACCCCAAAATTAAATAGCGTGCTTTATTGATGAATCCATAAGGAAGGAGGCATTTTCCTAACACTGCTGGTGAGAATGCAAAATGATATAACCCCTGTGGAGGAGAATTTGGCAGTAGCAAAACTACATGTGCATTCACTGTTTGTCAGGGCATCAGAATTGATCCCAGAGATACATTGGTAAAAATAGGAAAAGCTCTATGTAAAGACAGTTCACTGCAGCACCATGTGGAATAGCAAAGGATTTTAAACAGCACAGAATTCCCGAATAAGGTGCTGGTTGACTAGACTGTGGTACTTGTATCAGATGGAGTAGGACAGAATAAGTTGCTCTGTATCTCTGCATATGGCTAAGGAGTGATGGCCAGGGTATGTAATTAAATGGAAACTCAAAGGTGGAGAACAGTGTCTGTGCTACATTTAAAAAGGGGAGACTATGAATATATACATGTTTCATATATCTTAAAATGGAAGGAGAAGCCATACTTTTTTTTAGAGCTACCTATGGGAGTCTGGATAGAGGGGAGAGATGTCAACGTTAGACTTCTGACTCTGTTGTTTTGTAGATTTGACTTTGGAAATGTGTAGATCTTTTACATCATTATAAAACAAAATGAAGTGAAAGTTTATGACTTTTAAACATTTTGAGAATTGTCACATTTTTCTCTAAACAGTTTGTGCTCTGTTTACTTCCTGTCAGTACTTGAGGAGAACACTTTTCTCCCACGACTTTGCCAACACTGGATCATCTTTTAAAACTTTGCCAGCCCCTTGGGTGAAAAGTCGATTGCCATTTTCATGTGCATTCTCTGATGACTGAAGTGTTTAAGCAGCTTTTATTTGTTTATTAGCCATTTTGTATTTCTTTGGTGAAATGCAAGTTCAGAGCCTTTTTTATATCAGGAAGATTTTTTTCCTACTGATTTATAAACTCTCTGTGTTGTGGCTGTCATTTTCATTTGTTGATTATTAACAGGTTCATGGCCTCATCTCCAGTTAAGTTGTTCAGGCCCAGACTGTAGTGGCTGTTTTTTTTCTGTTGCCTTAAATTGATGTTTTCTACAAGAATATGTATGTGCGATACATGCTCATGTTACTCTAGAATTAACTGTGGACCAGACTTCACTGAAGTGTGCAGGTGGTGGGTGGCAGCACGTGGGCTCTCTGAAGCAACACAACTGTTTTCCTCTGTTCACTTCTCGTTTTTGTTTTAATTGTCCTAGGGCTTAGTACCATGTGTAAGTAGTAAGTAGTTATAAATGTCCACTTAAGTTGATTGCCAATAAACAGATTTCATTGTCATTTTGGTTTGAGATTTAACGACCCATGACAACTGTTTTTCTGTTTTGTCCAATGTGAATACTTGAATGAAACAGTAATTTTTCATTACGTGCACACATATGCACATATATTTTGGAGGTAGATTTTTAAAAAGTGTTTATAGCTGTTAGCACTTGCCCTTTGTTCATGGATATATTGAACATGTTTCTTTCTGCAGGTCATCACTCCATGTAGGAAGCTCATTTTGTGTGCTGATAACAGAAAAGAAATGGAAGATTGGATTGCGGCTCTAAAGACCGTCCAGAACAGGGAGCATTTTGAGGTTAAAAAGGAAAGACACCCTTCTATAAATGCTTGTTGCCTCTGTGGCCCCTACCCTAATGTCCTGCCATCTGACACCTCCCACGTGCAGACCAGCAGTTCTGGAACTCACGTTCTCAGCATGTTTTTATTATAAAATTAAGGCTGCTGCCTGTCCTTTCTGCAGACCTTCCCACCATGACCCTGTCCTTTGTCAACCTTCCTCCTCCCCTTTCTTGGATATTTTGTTTAATCCTGTCCAAATTGCCACACTTAAGAATTTCAAAGGGACGTCTTATCTTTGCCATCTTTATTCCTTTCTTCCAGCCCACCCAGTACAGCATGGACCACTTCTCAGGGACACACAATTGGTATGCCTGTTCCCACGCGAGGCCAACCTACTGCAACGTGTGCCGGGAGGCTCTGTCTGGGGTCACGTCCCACGGGCTGTCCTGCGAAGGTGCGGATGATGTGTTTGTTGTTCTGTTGGGAAAGGTGACCTGAGGTTTTACTTGATAAAGCTTTTGAAATCCAAACACAGTCACCATAAATAAGCCATGGCCTCCCGGTCAGTCAAGGAGAAAGTGATTTCTGTGACTCTGTTGTTTATTTTACCTACTGAGGAGTCCTTGTTAAGTCATTTTTTATAGTGCTCAGACAAAGTGAAAAGAAGGGCTGTGGTGGTGAGGAGAAACAAAGAGGAAGTGTAGAGAATGCAGAGGGAAAGACGTTTCTAAAATATCGCTTGGCCCACGGTAGTGATATTCCCTATGCGGGTAACTGGGTCCTGGTTATCTGGATTGAAAGTGTCTTACGGACATCAAGGTCAGGGCCACATGTTTGAACGAGGGAGTCTGATGCGGGGCAAGGCCAGTGGTTAGAGCAGGGATTCCAAGCCATGGCTTGTGGCTAAACTCTGCCTTTGGCCTGTTTTTATACAGCTCTCAAGCTTCAGACTGGCTTTTACATTTTAAAATGGGTGGGAAAAAACAAAAGAAGAATAATATTTTGTGACACATGGAAATTCCATGAAATTAAAATTTCACTGTCCATGAAAAAGTGCTGCCTTTGGCTGCTTTCATGCTACTCGGACAGCACAGTTAAGTAGTTGTGACGGAGGTTGCACGTGGCTTGCAAAACCTAAAATGTTCACTCCCTGGCCCATTACAGAAAGTTAGCTAAATCTTGGCCATCCTTGATGTGTGATCTCACTCCCGCCTCTCGTGCCATTGCCATCAGCCTCTAAGCAGGTCACAGTAGTTCAGTTACAAAATGGGGAGTGGTGTTGGTCCCTTTCCTGACTTTTCTAGGCCTGGGCAGTTCTTATGATGCTGTCTGCTCGGCGTGGAAAGCTCTTGTCACAGATGAAGCTTGCAGGCCCATACATTCCTTCTCTTTCAGTGTGCAAATTTAAGGCTCACAAGCGATGTGCTGTGCGTGCAACCAACAACTGCAAGTGGACCACGCTGGCCTCGATCGGGAAGGACATCATTGAGGACACAGATGGGGTATGTCAGGGGGCCCCACCCTCCGCCTGCCGTTTCATTCAGGATGGTCACCCTGGGATCAGGTGTCACATGGACAGTATGTGGGGACCCTGCGTGGTTGCTGTGCCTCTGGCAGGCGTGTGGTGGGATGGCACTTCATAGGCCCTGCCCTGTCTCCCCTCACTGGGCAGCAAGGAAGGAGCTTGTTGGGAAGAATGCCTAGTCTGAGTTCACAAAGGGCATTTCTGCCCCTGAGCTCCCAGCTGGCCTTGGGACCAGAGCCCTGGGAGCGTCCCCAACATGTGTCTCTGCTCGGTTGCAGATTGCCATGCCCCACCAATGGCTGGAAGGGAACCTGCCTGTGAGTGCCAAGTGCACGGTGTGTGACAAGACCTGCGGCAGCGTGCTGCGGCTGCAGGACTGGCGCTGCCTCTGGTGCAAGGCCATGGTGAGTGCGGGCCCTGTGCCCAGGCTGGTGGGACGGGTCTGCTCCCTATAGGCCCTCGAGGGCCTTGCACCCCCATGTCTGGTGCTGGGGCTTCGCCTTCTTCTGAATCCTGGTACATTCACCCCAGAGGCCCCTCCAGCTTTGAGAGTCTGGGTGTCGGACTGTCTGGTGACTTGACCTTCCCTTTTCTGTCTGGTCATTCTCATTATTGACTGGTTTTTATGTGTGTGTGTTCCTTTCTTTTGAGTTTAGTACTGCGTTGTAGACGCGTGCATATGTCTGTTTTCATGACACATCACATCATCATACAGCACCATAGCCAGGCTGTGCAGGGGTCATTTGGGACAGGTTAGCTGATGAGCTCTGTGGTATGGGAGCAGGAAAGCAGGAGAAGCTTTTCTGAGAGGTTCACTCTCTTGGTGACATTTACAGCAGCCACAGCAACATGTGAGAGGGAGGAAAAGCAATGGTGTCACCTGTGGGGTTCCTCTGAGGTTCTGGGTGTGGTCGTTGTCCTGCTGGGTGCTGCAAGGGGGAGGCGTGGGGAGTCTCTGTGCACTCACTGCTGGGTCTGTCATTGGCAAGAGGCTGCTGCAGCTACCTGATTAGAATGCCTGGCCGCCAGGAGGAAGCCATCTTGCCCCAAGAGCCCTTAATCCAGTCCTGAAAGTTAACGTTAGCGGTGCCTGAAGGGGCCAGGGGTCAGGCCAGGCCTGTAGCTCACATAGTGTGAGCCGCAGCTGGCTCCCACCCGGTGTTTCTGTGTCACACCTTCTCAAGCTCAAAGCCAGGACGTGGGTGTCATGCTGGGAGCAGGTCAGCCCCACTGAGGCTGCATTGTCAACTTCAGGGCAGGGTATTTCCAGTGTGTGTGCAGGTGACCCTGGTGGCACGTGGATTCTTGTTTTAGGTACACACGTCGTGTAAGGAATCCTTGCTGACCAAGTGCCCGCTGGGCCTGTGCAAAGTGTCGGTCATCCCACCCACGGCGCTGAACAGCATCGACTCTGACGGTGGGTACCAAGCGCCCGTCCTTCTCACCTGCACCCGCCACCTCCTTCGTGCGTTCTCTCCTCTCCGCTCCAGGGTTGGTTAGCTTGGTGAGGTGCGGTCAGCAAGAGGTCAGGCACTGCCACGGGGTGGGGAGCTGCGCAGAGGTGGTCCACGACATCCTGACTTTAGGGCATTGACATTAGACACACTTGAGACCTGAGGCTGGTCCTTTCCTTGGAGGTGAAGAACCTGGGTTATGTGTTGGCTGTTGAGTAGACAGAGTCTGAGGCTTCTCTGTCTTCCATGAGACAGAGCAGCCAGGCCCGTCTCTGTCTGGCTGATGCTGCTTATTAGCTTGTGGCCACTCTCACCACTACCAGTAGTACACGTGTCACATGTTGACAAGTACTAGTGGAGGGGTGGGAGTGCTGGGGTCTGTGGCTGAGGAGAATCAGCTCTACCAGACTGGGGCCAGAGGAGACAGCAGCAGGGTGGACTTGGACTCCTTGTGGAGATGGCTCCCTTCCTCACACGTGGGGAATGGCCCCGTGGACCTGTGTTCACTTACTTTTCGCTAACTTGTGGGGTGGGCACGTGTCAGGTGTGTGTCCTTTGGGGTATCTGTGGTTGCTTATTCTATCATCAGTGCCCCCAGCATCTTCTGTGGCTCATAGATTTTCCTCTGTCCTGTTCATTCTTGCATCCAGGGTTCTGGAAGGCCAGCTGTCCTCCGTCTTGTACAAGCCCACTGTTGGTCTTTGTCAATTCAAAGAGCGGGGACAACCAGGGTGTGAAGTTCCTCAGAAGATTCAAACAGCTGCTGAACCCTGCCCAGGTCTTTGACCTCATGAATGGAGGACCACACCTCGGGTAGGAAGCTTATGAAATGTATCTTTATTGGAGCTTTAAAAATTTTGTAGATAATGTGCACTTATGAAAAAAACAGCAAAGATACAAATTTTTAAATAGGAAAGAAGGCCAGGTACAGTGGCTCATGCCTATATAATTCCAGCACTTTGAGAGGCCAACGTGAGAGGATCATTTGAGTCCAGGAATTTGAGGCCAGGAGTTCAAGACCAGTCTGAGCAACATAGTGAGACCTTATCTCTACAAAAATTAGAAAAATTAGCCAAGTGTGGTGACTCATGCCTATAGTCTCAGCTTCTTGGGAGGCTCAGGCAGAAGGATCCCTTGAGCCCAGGAGTTTGAGGTTGCTGTGAGCTATGATGATGCCACCACACTCTAGCCTAGGCCATAGAGTGAGACCCTGTCTCTAAATAAATTAAAGGAAGAAGGAAGATAGGTCAGTTGAGCCTCCTCCTCCCCAGTTTGCACTCACAGAGGTACCCACTCTCAGTTAATAGAAGTGCATGCCCGTCAGCATTCTACACACCCACATACATATCTTTTAGACCAAACGGGATCCTACAGGTGCTTTCCACCTGGTTCAGCGTACAACATTGTGGGTGTGTTTTCATGTCAGTATCTGCAGATCTGCTTCATTCTTTTTAATGGCTGGTCAGTACTGAGGAAGAAGCTTTCTTCTAGCGAGGCCAGAGGGGGGGAGTGTGTTTGCATCAGGACACGAGAGGCTGCTTGGGTGCCTGTGCTGTGAGACTGGAGACGTGCATGGGCCTGGGGGCTCAGGGCAGAGGGATCATGCTGTTCATGTGCTCTCTGGAGGGCTGGCGTGGTTCCTTCTGGTTTTGTACTTTCCATAGGTTTGTAGAAAACATTTGTTTCCGTGAATTTTGGCATTTGAATGAATACCTTCTTCCTATGGAAGCACCAGTTCCAAGCGGGAGCTCCAAGAGACTCACTAGCACTTCAGGGAGGTTGTCCAGGTTGTGAGGGATGGTGCTTGAAGAGCCTGGTGTCGAGTGTGTGTGTTCCTGGGAGGGCTGCGTGTGGGGCCAGGTGCTGTCGTGAGGTGACCCTGGGCCGGCTCTCTGGCTGCCCTCAGCTGACATGCCTGGGGGTGTGGGAGCAACGTGCTGCTCCTCTGGTGTCTTCTAGGTTGCTCTCCCCTCACAGTCAGGCGCTGTTGGAGAACAAATGGTAGCACTTGAGCCTGCTTCCCTGAAGGCAGCATGCCCAAACTTTCTGCAGATGGACTTCTTTTTTTTTTTTTTGGCCCCGTTTAAAAAGTTTGAAATGGACTTCTTATCTGCGTGACACAGGGTCACATTCACCACTAGGTTGATAAATAATTTTAGTTAGAAAGTGGGGAAGTGGAGTTGCCATACGTCCCTTGTTGCGACACACCGAGCAGGCTCGGGTTGTTATGAAACACGGTACCAGGGGTGTTGGATGAATGCCTTGGAATGGCTTTCGGCAGGGCAGACTACTTAGCAGAACTTGAGAATAATGCTGATTTGGGCATGTGTGTGTACCTCCTCGATTCGTGGTTAGAATTAACATGAGATGAGCTGACGTAGGGAGCCCTCAGAGACATAAGGGGGTTGATCTGTTACAGTCACTTCCCGTGTCTGGGCAGCAGCTCGTCCCTCACAGTCCATCACAGGGCCTAGAGCTGCCGCTTTGTCATTGAGATTCCCAGCCTTGACCTCTCACCCCTCCTCCCGAGAGCAGGGATGCACCTAGGCTGGGTTCCGTGTAGACCCTGACCTGGCACTGCGTCACCGCGCCTGCCTGTCTCCTGAGCGCTGGCTCTGGTCAGGTGCTGAGCTAGAGGCAGGTGTACAGGCCAGTCATGTGGGGGCCTGAACACATGTGGGCCGTCAGGAGTATGTGGCAGGGTGGTCTGTCATCCAGTGCATGATGTACAACTTCTTTGGGAACCCAGAGAGGCCGTCTTACAAATCACATTGGGGCTCTGTCAGTCTCCCCGTGGAGCTCGCATTTGAGGAGGGCCAGCGTCCCGATGGCTGCAGGGAGGTCAGGAGCCTTCCAGGCAGAGGTGCTGCCCGTGCAGATGCACAGCAGGAGAGAGCGCCATGGGACACTGGGCCAGGGAGTGGCAGGCACTGGGCAGAAAGGGGCAGCTGCAGGTCAGGAAGGGCTGCAGGGGCTGGCTGAGAGGTTTGGCCCTTTCTTGACATGAAGGGCAACCTCATAAAGTGAGACACTTGACAGGACTCATGTTTTAGAAAGATCTCCCTGGAATCACAAGTGGGAGGTGTCCAGGAAGAGTGACAGGTGGATTGGGAGGCTCCTGTGGCTCCACGAAAGCCTGGTGGGGGCCCGAGCCAGCTGTGGTGTGTGGGAGTGGAAGAGAGGCTGCTAGGAGGGGCCAGCCTCTGTCGGTGGTGGCACTGCCATTCTTAGAGGAGGAACAGGTCCTATTGGAGGTGTGCTATAGGACTCTGCAGTGGTGTGTTCTGGTGGGCAGCTATGTCGGCCTTCAGGAGCAGCCTGGGGTCAATTCAGGGTCATTAGCACCTTTGTTCTCCTTGAAGCCAAAACATGGATGGGGCCATGCAGGGAGAGGGTGAGGAGGGAGTAGCTGCAGCAGTGGGGACGCTGAGGGGGAGGGGAAGGGTGGCAGAGGACCTGAGGAGCCAGGAGGGGAGGAGGTATGGGTCCCCGTGCCCAGAGGACCCAGTGGCCCAGGCCATGGGTGCTGCAGAAGGGACGTGGCATCTGTCAGCCTGAGGCTCCGAAGTAGCCAGAGCAAGTGCTGGGTAGGGCCTGACTGCAGGCCTGCGGACAAGTGGGGGCTGGGGCTGCGGGTGCAGGGCAGTCCAGGGGCATGGTGGGAAGGTCGGCAGAAGCTGCATGCAGATGGGGCAGGTGAGGGACAGTGACGTAGGCTGTGCTTGTGCGGCTGTGGCTGGGGCTGCAGAAGCTGTGCCCACGACCCAGCAGGAGCTGGCATCTGAGCCAGGATGAAGTGTTGGCACCCCATCGAGTCTGCAGTGTCTGCTGAGAATCCATCCTGGGCTCGCAGGGGCTGGGGCCCTGGTTGGAGGGGCTGGGTGGGCCCCAGAGCCTCTGTTGTCCACCTCGACAAAGCGGGCCTGAGCACAGGGCTGTGTAGACAGTTGGTGTCGCGTGTCAGAGCCCCTGCACACGTGCGCTCGGCCTCTGGCGTGGTCCAGCTGCGAGGAGCGCAGATACAGCTGGCCCAGGAGTGACGAGCCTGTTGTGTGTCCTATAGCATGCATGCCGTTCCACCAACTTTCTCTTTTCTCTGCAGCTTACGGTTATTCCAGAAGTTTGACACATTCCGGATTCTGGTTTGTGGCGGGGATGGCAGTGTTGGCTGGGTCCTTTCTGAAATTGACAGCCTCAACCTTCATAAACAGGTACCTGGACATGAGGAAGCCCAGCCCAGGGGAGAGGGTGCCCAGGCAGAGAGGTCATGCCGTCTTAGCTCCTTTTCATCTCACGGTGCCTGTTCTCAGATGGGGGCCAGCACAGGTTGTGTGGATTGTGGCCAGTGGGGACAGGAGCGTGGAGGCCCAGGGGCTTCGGCTGTGAATAGGCATTGCACGTCAGCAGTAGGGGAGCTGCAGAATGAAGAGTCCTCGAGGGACCTAGGTGGGGAGCAGGTCTGGGGGGGCTGCCCCTCCTGTCCCCCTGTTGGCTCTTTATTGACTTACGGCTTGATGCCTCTTGCTTGTGAGGAGAGGACAGAAATATACTTTTCTCAAGTCAGAGTTATAGGTCACTAAACTTAGTTTTTTGTATTAAAATAAAAAGACTTTCTTGATTATGAATGAAAAAGTGTTCATATGTTCATTGAATTTTCACTCCCAGCCACTGCTCTCCCCACGTGATCAGCCGCAGCTAACATTTCGCTGACTCTCAGACGTCTGTTACCATACATACGTGTAATGTGTAGTGCAGCTTAGTTTAAATGGGCCATATTGCCCACGCTCTTCTGTTACTGCATTTTAAAAATCACTAGTACGTGGACGCCTCGCGCTCTGCGTCTGTAAATAAGGATGTGATGGGAGTTTCCCACGCGCCGGTGCCTCCCCACGCGTGGGCACTTACCCTGCTCCGCAGGGACAACGGACGCGAAACCAGGTATACGGGTCCCAATTATTTCCTCTTTTGTAGCGCACCCAGATTTAAATACTGAGGTGCATCACCACACTGCCCCCATCAGGGCCACGTAGCCTGTCCTTTCCCACACGCTGTCCATGTGTTCATGTCTTCAGATTTTGACCAGCTAAGGAGACAACATGATACATGTCTTATTTTGATTTCTTTAATTACTAGTGAAGTCGAACGTCTCAGTTGATAATGAAGTTTTAAATGAATTGCCTGTTCTTTTTTGTTGTTTTGTTTTTTGGGTTTTTTTTTGCCTGATTCTGTCTTGGGAATACACTTTTCTTTTTTAAAAAAGTTGATGTCAGGCTGGGCGAGGTGGGTCACGCCTGTAATCCTAGCACTCTGGGAGGCCGAGGCCGGTGGATTGCTCGAGGTCAGGAGTTTGAAACCAGCCTGAGCAAGAGTGAGACTGTGTCTCTACTATAACTAGAAAGAAATTAATTGGCCAATTAATATATATAGAAAAAAAATTAGCTGGGCATGGTGGCGCATGCCTGTAGTCCCATCTACTTGGGAGGCTGAGGCAGCAGGATTGCTTGAGCCCCGGAATTTGAGGGGCTCAAATTCCGGGGCTCACGGGGTCCCGGAATTTGCTGTGAGCTAGGCCGATGCCACAGCACTCACTCTAGCCTGGGCAACAGGGCAAAGAGACTGTCTCAAAAAAAAAAAAAAAGTTGATGTTTAAGGATTGTTACTTGAACTCCTTATCTGTCATAGTAGGTATTTTTTTCCTGGTTTGTCGTTTGTCTTCAATATCCTTGGGTTTTTTTTTTTTTTTCTTCAAGATTTTTGTCATATTGAGAGAAACTTACCCATTCGCCAACATTATGAAGATTTTTCATATTTTCATACTGTTTATTATGGTCCATTAAAAAAAAATTCCAGTCTTCTTTGTGATTTGAACATATTTTCCAGTGGTTTTGTATTCTCTCCCCAGCCCTGGCCACTTTGTGGTATTTACTGGGGTGGGGGTAGCTGTGGGCGGGCCGACCATGACCAGGAGCCAGCTGCTCAGGAAAGAGAAATAGTGCCACCTGGTGGTGGGTTGGAGCAGTCCACTTGGGCCCAGTTTCAAGTTTTGTTCAGTTCGTGGGTCATTTACAAGTTCACTATGGCTAGTTAGGAAAACAGTGAAACCTTGTGGTTCATTTTCACCCGTGAACATTATCTCCTTTGAATTTTCGGTGGCACTTGATGCTCCGGCTGCTCCTTCTGTGGGACCCCAGCCCCCTTGGTGTTTCTTCTCTTCCTGGCTGCCCCATCTCTGTAGGGATTTCTCCTTCCTTGCCCTCCCTTTGAAGGCTTTGTCCTCAGAGCCTTGCTGGGCCTCTCCTCCTTCACATTCCTCCTCACAGGACGGCTCAGCAACTCACAGGGCTTTTGCTGCCATCTCTGTCCTGGGGGCCTCAGTTACAGCTGAGCCCTGGGCTCTCTGGCTTTCTCATGGTGCGGCAAGCTTCCAACACCAGCTGTCACTCAGCCTCTGCTTCATTCCTTTCCTTGGAGTCTGGGGACATTGCCATGCAGATGTCAGAGCCAGAAATCTGACAGTGGTTCTTGATTCCATCTTCTTCCCACATCATTTCTCGCTAATTGCTGGGCTCAGTCCTGTTATCCCACAGTCCCCTGCCCACTGCTAGTGTCTGGCCCCAGTCTGAGCCACCTGCATGTTGAGGAGCATCTGTGCTGAGCCCCTGGCCTCTGTCCCTGCACCACTCAGCCAGTGACCTTCTGGGGCAGTTGTGCCCACACATCCCCTAGCTTTCTGCAGTGGCTTCCCTGGCTTTAGGAAAGCTTACAGAGCCCCAGATTTGGCTCCTCCTTCTCTGCTTCTATCTTCCTCTTTCCTCAGTGCCCTCCCTGCTGAGCTCCCACTTGCCCCTTCACAGGTGTGTCATCTTGCTACCTGGAACACCACCACACCTGTACACGTCCCTCCTTTTCCTTTAAGCCTCTAGCAAACCCTCACTGAGGCCCCAGCCCTTCTGGGCACCCCTCAGCGCTGGGCCCTCTCCATCTGCGCGTCTCGCTCTGCTGTCCTTGCTCGCTCCTGCCTGCTGCCCTCCCAGACCGAGCTCTTGCTGAGGTGGCACCTTGCATTGTGCTTGCTGTCTCTGTACTTGCAGCTGGGAACAGAGGGCTGTGCGGGAATATAGATCAGAGAGGTCCCAAGGGGTTGATGGTCAAGCTGTGGCCACAGCTGAGAGACATGGGAGAGAGGGGTCGATGACCCTGGCATTTTCTGTCAGATTACAAAGACCATCTGTCCCCTCTGGTGGGCTCTGCCTGTAACGTAGCTACACGGTCCCAGATGAGCTCTCTCACACCTAATTTGGCTGTCGTTGTAGGGCTGGGAGGTGGTTCTCATTCCCAGGTGCTGACTGCCTTCTCCCTACTATTTCTGTCAGTGTCAGCTGGGCGTGCTGCCACTCGGGACAGGGAACGACCTGGCGCGAGTGCTGGGCTGGGGCTCAGCCTGTGATGATGACACCCAGCTGCCCCAGATCTTGGAGAAGCTGGAAAGAGCCAGCACCAAGATGCTGGACAGGTGAGTGGGACGTGTTCTAGTGCCATATGAGTGGAAGTTCTTCTGAGAGACAGGCCACCTTGACCAGTGTTCTTAACCTGGGATCTGTGATGAAGTTATTTGTAAAAATTTGACCTTTAGCATATGTTATTTTTTTATGGTAGTCTTTGATTTTTGGTCAGATTATGAAAAGGATTAAAATAAACAAAACAGGTTAAGAATCATGCCCTAGAATGGTCAGATCTTCTCATGATGCCAAACCTGAATCCATCAGGGTGCCTCAGTCCAGCATCTAATACCCATTGGCAAAGTACTCCTTGTTGCGTGTTGGAGCAATTCCATTTTCTTATGTCCTATTCTCACAAGTAGTTTTGGGTAATTGCCCTCTAAGTGCTTAAAGATACCCCTTGGCACCTTCCCTGAGTGAGGTACTTGTGAGCTAGATGGATGACACTCTGTAGGTATCCATCAGATGCTAACCCAGCTGCCCCCAGAACCCTGCAGCTCTAATTACAGGTGGGCGTGCAATGCCCCCACCTCTTCAGGGCTTCCTTAGAGTGCCTCTGGGGCCGGGAAGAGCTGGCGTGGACCAGCTGTCTGAAGGAGGGCAAAGCGTTTCTCCCAGAAGCAGCATCTCAAAGGCAGCCGTTCATGGGGTGTATTTCTCCAGTGTATTTCAGTAGAGTGGTGGTGCCCTGTTGCTTGTGGAGGGGAGACCTTTGTTCTCAGCCAGGTGAAGAGCTGGGTCACAGATGCTGAACCAAGACAGAGGGCTTAAAAATGAAGTTTCAAGGCCCCAGCCTTGAAGGGAGGGTGCAGGGTCTGCCCTTGGGGGTTGCCTGTCCCCCCGCCCCTGCTCATGGTGGGCGGTGCTGACCTTGTGCGTGTGCAGGTGGAGCGTCATGGCGTACGAGACCAAACTGCCCCGGCAGGCCTCCTCCTCCACTGTCACCGAAGACTTCAGCGAGGACTCCGAGGTATGCCAGGCCGCTGTCCACAGCCTGCTCAGTGGTCTCACCACCCCACCTGGCCATTCCCACTGCCTCCCTGCCCTGCAGAGGTTCTAGGTGAACCTCAGGCTGAGCTGGCAGCCGGGCGGATTCTCACTCCCCTTGGCAGAGGATTTTGGGCTTAGTGACATCTAGGGGTTTCCTGAGGTTATCACCAGGCCTGGGGGTCTTCCCACAGACCTTTCCCGGGACTTCCCGCTCACAGTGCATCCCATCAGCTCCTCAGCGTCCCCTGCATGGCCCTGCTTGTTCCTTCCCCTGCCATTCCCCTGTGCCTGGGATGCCCAGTTGTTCCTCAGCCCCCCAGTCCCCTGGGACATCCCAGTCCCTTCGGGCAGCCTACTCTAGGTCGACTTGGAGTTCTTCTTTGTGTCGGGTGGTTGTCACTGTTACGGTTTAACGCTCTTACACGTCCCCTCGGGGCACAGACTGGCTTTGTATTCTTTTTTCATACCCTGCTCTGACAGCAGCGGTGCAGTCCTAGCCGTGCTCATGCCTGCTGGGCAGGTGGCTGCCAGCTGTGTGTGAGCCGGGTTCTGCCCAGGGCAGTCCCCATTTGATGGGGCTGGGGCCGCGGGAAGAGGGAGTTCTGTGGGGCGAGGCAGCAGTCTGCGCACGAGGCCGCAGGCCTGCCGGGGCTGCTTCCACACGGCCTTGTGAGCCAGCAAGGGGGCCTGTGGTTTTGAGTTTTTTGGTTTTTTTTGAGAGGACAAATAAGTATGTGTGCAAGGACCCAAATATTTACTATCTGGCCATTAGTGAAATTTGCTGACCCCGGGGCTAGGCCCTAAAGAGAGCGGTTCTCACTCCCGCACAGGGTACAGCTCAGCAGGTAGGGCAGCTGGTGAAGAGAGTGATTCTCATCGAGAGAGACAAAGTGCGTGTGCATGTACACACACGACTCACACAGACACACACGCGTGCGTGCTCATGTGATAGCGTTCGCAGCCAGATGGCAGGTGAGGCCTCTGCTGCGAGCGGAACCTAAACCACGGAGCCTGCCCACTTGCGGCTCACCTGCCATAGGATGGAAAGGGAATAAAGGCTGACGCTCCTAGCACGGGCTGGTGTGGTGATCTCAGACTGAACACTTGTGAGCTGTTCGTACATTTTTACATCTTTTTCATCGTTGAGATCTACCCTTTCCATTTGTCCAGAGCTTGATGAAGCTTTTGAGACTCTCACAAAGCACTGGTGAATCGCAGGTTAGGATTTGGAAGTGCAGCTTGCAGGGCGCGACAATGTCGGTTAGGAGAGAGCCAGGGTTGTGTGCCGCCAGGGAAGCTGGTGAGAGATTCACTGGAGCTCAGGAGCTTTGGGTCACAGAGGCTAACAGGCCCCCACCTGTTTTGGGGAGATTGCAGGTGCAGCAAATTCTCTTCTATGAAGACTCGGTTGCAGCCCATCTTTCTAAAATCCTGACTTCGGACCAGCACTCAGTGGTGATCTCCTCGGCCAAGTGAGTCCTGGCAGCAGCAGCGGGGAAGGCAGAGCTCAGGCAGGTGGGTGCCCGGGGCCCAGCCTGGAGCCCCTCTCTAGACGTGTCCTTCTGTCTCCCTCCTAGAGTGCTCTGCGAGACAGTGAAGGACTTCGTGGCCCGGGTGGGAAAGGCCTATGAGAAGACGACTGAGAGCTCAGAGGAGTCAGAGGTCATGGCCAAGAAGGTCCGTACCTGGGTGGGGGCGGGGCTGGGGGCCGTTGCAATGTGGAGAAGTGCGCTCTGCATGCCGCTGTGTTCCCGTCCAGTGCTCCGTCCTGAAGGAGAAGCTGGACTCGCTCCTCAAGACCTTGGACGATGAGTCCCAGGCTTCATCCTCGCTGCCCAACCCACCCCCAACCATCGCTGAGGAGGCCGAAGACGGTGACGGGCTGGGCAGTGTCTGCAGCTCCACTGGGGACCGCGCGGTGGCAATGGCCTGCCCCGCCCGGCCCCAGATATTCCGGCCCCGGGAACAGCTCATGCTAAGGGCCAACAGCCTGAAGAAAGCGATTCGCCAGATCATTGAACACACAGAAAAAGGTAACCGGTCTATCGCTGAGAGGTGCTTTCTTCAGGCAAGCGCTGGCATTCTCCATGTTCCCTTGAATGTGGTGACAGAAGGCACACACTGGGACACCACTGTGGCCTGTGGGCTTCAGACCCCAGGTCCCTCTCCTGGCCGTTGCTGTCTTCACTATGATGGACTCCCCCCTTAGTGGGAGCCATGAGGTCACAGCGTGCCCGCCCGGCCTCTCTGGGTCAGCTGGGGCCTCTCCGGCACTTGCCTCCTCCCCATCATTTTTAGCCTCTCAGCCTCCTCCTCCCAGCCTGTGAGCCTGGATGCCCAGGGTCTTTGTACTGACCTGTGTGCCAGGCCAGGAAGAAGGCGGGTGGGCCGGGGACTCAGCAGTCTAAACCTTCAGCCAGAGGACATAGATAGAAACGGGGAGGGAACTCAGGCTGCTGTTGCCCTTACCGTAATGCCACGTGCTCAGATGGAAATGCTCCTTCCTTGCACAGCCGTTGATGAGCAAAACGCCCAGACCCAAGAGCAGGAGGGGTTTGTGCTGGGTCTCTCTGAGTCGGAGGAGAGGACGGACAACAGGGTGTGCTCACCACTGTCCCAGAGCGAGAGCTGTGGGGCCACCAAGGGGAGGAGCCAGCGCAAAGGTACCAGCTTCCTACCTCTTCCCTCAGTACTGCCATCAGGGATTGGGTTGTGGTGAGACCTGGCACGCTTGCAGTGGAAGTTTTAGGGTGCTTTCTCATGACTGCTTTGGCCACTTGGCCGTGTAGACTCACAGCCCATGGATGCCAGGAGAACCAGTGGGGAGGGGACCCTCCTTGCTGAGGAGTGCCTGGTGTCTTGCCCTTGCTTGCTTCCTCAGAACCTCGCTGTGCCCCGAAGAACTGCTCAGAAGGGGCTGTGTCTGACAGGGACGGACCCTTGCCCCTCCTGGACTCTGTTTGTGTGGAGGGCACTGTCAGGCCAGTAGGAGCAATGCTCAGAGTTGACACCATGGCTGTTAGATCGCTACCCCTCAGAGCTCTGCCATGCATGGACTGAGATTCCCAGATTTCCATGCCCAGACTGAGATTAGGGGTCACTCCCTCCCTCCTGTGCCACCATCGTAGCCTGTGTCCACCCTCCAGATCAGCCCAAGCCCTCAGCGTGTCACACGAGCCTGGGCTCCCCTCTGGCCCCTCACTCAGGGCCTTCTTTATCTCACACGCTTCCCATGGGCTGACCGGTGGTCTGTCACCAGCCGCGCCCCCCCCCCGCCCCCCCCCGTTTATTTTGCTAGTGTGCTCCCAGGGTTTCGGTAGTGTTCTGCGTTGAACGTCCTCAGGTTTTCTGTTCTGTTGTGACAGTGTCTAAAGCTCCCTGTGAAAAGCTGATCAGCAAAGGAAGTTTATTGCTGGGCAGCTCTGCTTCTCTTCCTCCCCAGTCGGGAAGCCGGGACGGCCTGCCCGCACTGAACACCAAGATCCTGTACCCAAGTGAGTGTCCCCTCCCAGCTGGGCCAGCGGGAGGGCCATCCAGGGGGCCCTTAAGCAGCAGCTGGGCACTGGGAAAGGAGGAGTGAGAGAGGGTCACTGGCTTTCGGGAGTTGCTAGGTCCTGGGAAGGTTTAAGTGTGACTGTGAGAAGTGCCCTTTTTAAACAGGGTGTGCAATGCCCACGTAGCACTCGGGAAGCCCAGGAGGCCCACTGGGAAGGCAGCGCTGAGTCAGTGAGCTGCGTGCCTGGAGAGGGTGGGGTGGGCCACTGCGGTTTGGTGTCGTGCTGTTGCTGAGTTGCTCCACGAGCCCCAGACGTAGGAGAGCAAGGGTCTGGTCACCTGGAGTCTTCTTGATGTTTCTGTCTCATGAATTTAGCACCATTTTCAGGTGTCTCATAGGTGTTGGTTTCTACTGCTCAGTATGTTTTTGTTCCACAAATATGGGCTGATGTTGGCAATTATTGACCTGAGACTATTCATTGTCAAAATTTGGACATGCTTGTACATAATTTTGGACATGTCTAATTGTAATGATGTTCTGCAGACTGTGAGTTCCTTGGCCTCAAAGACGAGAGTCTGTCAGGTCTGTGGATCCGACCAGCGTCCCCTCCTGCTTGTGTCCTTGCAGGTGTTCGGGCCGGCATGTCCGGGTCCTTGCCTGGGGGCTCAGTCATCAGTCGCTTATTGATTAATGCTGATCCCTTTAACTCCGAACCAGAAAACCTGTGAGTATGAGGGTAAACGAAGCAGGCACAGTGTTTTGAGAATGCTGAAGCTTGGAAAAGTGGGTTTTAGAACTGACTAGTGACATTAGTGAGCAGCTGACCAGCCGAGCCTTCTCCAGCTGGTGCTGGCTGAGAAGGAAAACCAAGAAGGGAGTGGGCTCAGCTCGGGAGCATGACTGGAAGCCACAGCTGCGAGTCTGCCCAGAAGGCGAGGGCAGCGCCTCCCTCCCAGGGCCCTCGGCCGGTGCACAGCGAGTCCTCTGAATCTGAGTCACCTTCTGCCACCTTCCTAGGCCATCGGCAGGCTCAGATGTGCCCACTGGAAGCCACCTTTGCACTGGCTGTCCGTGCTGTCCTGCCTTCGGCTCCCCCATGATGAGCTTTCCCGATAGCCACTTCTCCCTCGTACCCTGCCTTCTGCTTACCTGGTTGTGACTCAGAGTCACAGACCCTGGGCCGCAAAGCCCACTGTGTGCTCTCCTCTGCCGCCTCACGGCCCCCCAGGGAGACCCGTCCTGTGTTTAAACTCCAAGGAGGAAAGAGGGCCTGTTGGCCTGCTCTGGCTGTCCTCACCCTCTGGGGACACGGCCTTCTCCCTCTGCCCAGTTTCTCGGGCAGCGAGGACGTTCACACAGCAGTTTAATGGAGTCGTCTTGTGCATTAGAGAACGTTGTGGAGACAAGCGTTGTTTTGAAAATGCATTCTTCTAGACTTTTCTTTCTTATGGCTGATTGCTGGTTCTGGGTAGCTGGTGACGGTTGAAAGTTGCCAACCATTTGTCTGGCGTGGTCAGGGACAGTGACAGTGAGCAGTGTGTGGTTCACAGAGGCTCTGTGGCTTGGGGAAGTGGAGCTCTGGATTCCAGGTGCTGGCCTGCTCCTGGGCTAGTCTGCCTGGGCCTCCAGGCCTCAGCCTTCCCGATGCCGCTTTCCTCAGCAAGGCCAGAGCTGTGGCCCTCCTGATCTAGACACTAATCCTTTCTTTGGCTCCTTCGTCTGACATTGCTGAGCTTCCACGCCTGGCTGAGCCCTTTGGTCTCTTTACCTCTCTCCTCTTCACGTGGGGAGACAACGCCATGCTCCCTCGCTTTCACCCATGGCGGCGTGCTGGGGCCATGCCATGTGGGCCCCAGGACTGTGGCCAGGGCCACTGGGCCTCTTGCAGGCCTTGAGCCTGTCTCCGTCTGCCCAGGCAGCTGCCACCCCTCTGCCCCCGGCCCCTGAGCCCAGTGTCTCTACCTCCTCCCCTTGTCCCTGTGCCCTGTTTCTCTGGCTTGGATCTCTCTTTTCCCAGGACCTATAAATACTGGTCAGTCACATGGTCTTCAGCTTAGTAAACAGTTTTGCTCTCAGCCAGCTGCTCTACACTTGAATTAGATACATCACAAAAGCACTTACAAGTGCTGATTGGTTCTCAGATCAGGCTGCCAAAGCTTAGTAAGCTAAAATGTGTCAGAATTTGGGTCCAGGCAGCATTCTGGGGCCCCACCACCCTGTTGAGCCTCCGTGGCAGCTTCCGGCTATGGCTCCTGCTTGCCACTCCTCCTTTCCCCGCGGCCCTGGGCCCCGTGGCTGTGCAGGAGGCCCCGAGCTGGCCCTGGCCCTGTGCAGAGCGAAGGCGGGGCCTGCAGCCAGGTGGGGCGAGAAGCCAGAATGAGACAGTCTCGTCAGCAGAGCATCCGGGCAAGGGGAAGTTTGTTGCCATGGGCCTGGGATGGACGTTTTCAGTTCATTTCCCTTTTTAATGTGGTGACTGCTTTGGTTAGGTCTAGGGACATTTGAGAAATGTTTTGTGATCCAGAGTTCAAATGTGTGTTTCTATGCCATAAAGATATCATCACTTTTGTCACTGCTGGTGGGAATGTAAATGGTGTGCAGCTGCCCCAAAGGTTAAATCTGGAACTTCCATGTGACCCAGCAGTTCTGCTACGGGGTGTAAATGCCCCAGAGGATTGAAGATGTCTGTGCTGGAACTTGGATATAAATGTTCATAAATAATAACCAAAAGTGAGACAACCCAGGTGCCTATCAGCTGATGAATAATAAAATGGGATATTACTTGGCTTTGAAAATGAGGTACTGGCACGTGCTATAACATGGATGAACTTTGAACACGTCATGCTAAGTAAGGGAAAGCCAGACACGAAGACCACGTACTTTACAATCCCGTTATGTGATACGTCTATAGCAGGCACAGCTGTAGAGACAGAAAGTAGATTAGCGGTTGCCAGAGGCTCGGGAGTCGGGAGCTGAGGGTTAATGGGCACAGACTTACTTTCTGGAGCGATGAAATGTTGTAAAATTGATTGCATAGTGATGGTTAAATGACTCTGTGAATGCACTAAAAAATCATTGCATTGTATATTTTAAATTGGTAAGTGACATGATATGCGAATTTTATCTCAGTAAATCTCTTACAAGAAAAAAAAGAAAAAGATATCAGCATTGCCTTAAAGAAGAGAAATGCTGAGAGGTTGGAGTCTGTGAGATGAAACTGCCAGCATGGCCGCCGTGCGGCTCTTGTGATTGACGTAAGGTTCGCCTTTGCAGAGAGTGTTACACAGAGAAGTGTGTCATGAACAACTATTTTGGCATTGGCCTGGATGCAAAGATATCCTTGGACTTTAACAACAAGCGTGACGAACACCCAGAGAAATGCAGGTAGGGGACGGACTTCGCATCTTCACGGCTTCTCCTTCCAGGTGGTAGGGAGCTGCTGGAGTCAGCAAGTTAGAGCTGAGCGGAGCGCTGGGGCGGAAGGTGAAATGGCCTGCGTCGCTGGTTGTCAGGAGGAGAGGAGCGGGAAGCAGTCCAGGAAGCCAGCCTGGAAGAGGTTCCACCCCCAGGGCTGGCCAGCTTGGGGCAAATGTCACACGAGAAAACCAGTGACGGCGGTCATTGGAGTGGGCTTTGTCTCTTAATGAGGGCCCCATCTGTGATGCTACAGTGAAGGGGCAGGTGACATAGTGTGCTAGGGAGTTGCGGCACCCGCTGCGTGGTTGTGGGAAAGTCCGTGTGCACATCAGCAAGCCGGGAGAGCCAGTGGCCTGGTGCCTCCCGCAGGCAGGGCCAGAGCCTGCCGAGCCCGTGAGAAGTCTCCTCCAACAGAGGCAGCCCTGCTCGGGTGCTTGGTCTCTTCCCTACGATGCACACATGTTCACCCTCCTGGCCTGGGCAGAGGATGGGAAAAAACGGGAAGGGTCCTTCCTAGGCTGAGGTAGAAATGGCCTCTTCTCAGTAGAAACAGAAGTGGGGGACAAACTCCTCCCACACCACTGCAGACTGATGGCTGCGGTCCGAGCGACCCGAGCCACGTGACCCGGCCTCTGTCCTCCACGGGTGTCACCACCACCTTGAGGGAGGCCACACTCACACCTGAGGGGTTGCCATTAGCTATTGCTCAAATTATATATAGTTGGAAATTTCTAGGAAAACAACAGCATAAGGACTCAAAAGACCTTTGAACTCTGGGGCTCTTCAGTGGAGGAAAGTGGCTCAGGCGTCCCCAGGGACATAGCCCTGTTACATAGCATGTGATGGTGGGTCAGAGCATTAAAAAATCCCTGTTAGTCCAAAAATGATTGGAAAAGTATTAAAATAATATTAAAACATGGCCGGGTGCGGTGGCTCACGCCTGTAATCCTAGCACTCTGGGAGGCCGAGGCAGGCGAATTGCTCGAGGCCAGGAGTCCGAAACCAGCCTGAGCAAAAGCGAGATCCCATCTCTACTATAAATAGAAAGAAATTAATTGGCCAACTGATATATATAGAAAAAAAAAATAGCTGAGCATGGTGGCACATGCCTGTAGTCCCAGCTACTCAGGAGGCTGAGGCAGCAGGATGGCTTGAGCCCAGGAGTTTGAGGTTGCTGTGAGCTAGGCTGACGCCACGGCACTCACTCTAGCCTGGGCAACAAAGCAAGACTGTCTCAAAAATAGTAATAATAATAATAATAGGGGCATGTATAATACATTCTTCAAGCCTTGGAACCCTGGTTTACCCTTTCTTGAGTTTGTATGGAGAGCTTTCAAAAGGTCTCTAGAAAAATTCCATTTCTATGAATCCGTCCTAGGAAGTGGTTGGAAATGTTGGTAAAGAGGTGGGTACAAGGAAGGGCTCGCTGCCTTGGAAGTCACAGAGTGCAGGGTGGGCGCCCTGGAGCCCCGTCAGCAGGGACTGTGTGGGTGACTGGCAGAGGCACGCCGGGCGCAGGGCACCCCTGTCTGCGAGGAACCACGGGGCCCGGTGTAGGGTGAGCCGTGTGGACCAGTGAGTCCATCTGGAAATCAGCACCCGCAGCAGACTGGGGACGTGCACCGGAGCAGCCGTCACTGGGACGTGTGGAAGGAAGTGTTGCGATTATAAAGATTATTTTCTCCTTTGTGCTCTTCTGTATTTTCCAAATTTTCTGTGGTAAGGCAGAATTTTATAGCCAGAAAAAAAATCATGATGTATAAAATTTTGTGCTTTTCCGGGTACAGTTACTCTCTTGGCAAAATTTACTATTTAGCAAAATTTCCTGTTGGTAAATATATCTCTTTATGTATATCTGGGAAAACGAGAATGTGTCCTCCTTACGTTCGGGTGTTACTGCCGTAATGACTGCTGGGTTAGCCCGTGTGTGGTCTGACGCCTCCCAGCGTCACGGCATGCCTCGGGCCGACTGCAGGGCAGGGCCAGGCCCACAGCAAGGCTGTGTCTCTGTTTCCAGGAGTCGAACCAAAAACATGATGTGGTATGGAGTCCTTGGGACCAAAGAGTTGCTGCACAGAACCTATAGGAACCTGGAGCAAAAGGTCTTGCTGGAGGTGAGCAGGAGGAGGCCCTGGCAGGGACGTTAGCTGACCACTAGGCCCATCTGTTCTCCTGGTGGCTCTTTCCTCACTGCATGGGGACTCCCTCTCCCTCCCCAGCCCCGGTGTGGATGCTGGAAAGAAGGACCCGCTGATACTGTGCATTTCTCTTTTCTTTTCTTCTGCGTTTCTGCTGCTCAGTGTGATGGGCGGCCAATCCCACTGCCCAGTCTTCAGGGAATTGCCGTCCTCAACATTCCTAGCTATGCTGGAGGGACCAACTTCTGGGGGGGCACCAAGGAAGATGATGTACGTATGGGCATGTGGGTGCAAGCTCAGGGAGGGGAGGAACGGTGGGGTGGTCTTTTGTGACTTGGGTGACTCAAACACCTCCCTGTGCTGGCACCGGGGAGCCATGGAGAGCAAGACAGGACAGGGCCCCTCGCCCAGGGGCTCGTTGTCTAGAGGGCCTGGCAGAGCGGTATTGGCAGAGAAGGACGGGGTACGATGGGGCTTGGAGGATGGGGTGGGTCAGGGAGGGCTTCTGGGAGGCTGAGACCTGCAGGATGACTTGAGTTGGCCAAATCAGGTGGGCAGAGAGGAGAGGGAGGCTGTTCTAGCCTATGTGAAGGCTTGGGGGCAGGACAGGGCAGGGGTCATGGAAGACATGGAGGAAGGTCACCTGACTGCAGTATGCAACAGGTGATTGGTCTGCAGGGGCCTAGATCACATTTGGCTGTGTAGCCAGGGAAGAAGTTTGGAATTTGTGCTACGAACTGAGAAGGTGCTGGTAGGTTTAACCAGGAGGATGGCTCCCTTTGCGCACAGTAGCTAACGGAGTCCACGCTGCGCATGTGACATGTGCTGCTCCCTGTCCTAAGCACTCTGCAGGTGTTAACTCATTCAGTCTTCATAATGAATCCTAGTGTTACCCCCCTTTAGAAAGGAGGGAACTGAGGAAGAGAGCAATTACATAACTCGCTGAGGTCAAGTCTAGGATTTGGCGCCAGGTAGCCCTCAGCAGTGCTGTCCCTGGCAGCTTCGGCCCACTCTGCTGGCTGCGTGGCAGCGGAGCACTGGGCCGGCCCCAGCGAGAGAGTGAGCACAGGGGCTGCACGGGGGCTGCGGGCGGCGGTCAGCTCTAACTCAGCTCTAACTCCGGCCCTTTTAGACTTTCACAGCCCCATCGTTCGATGACAAGATTTTGGAGGTGGTCGCCGTGTTTGGCAGCATGCAGATGGCTGTCTCTCGAGTCATTAAGCTGCAGCATCACCGAATCGCCCAGGTAAGGGTGTGCCTGGAGCGGTCTGGCGGAGGCCTGTGCGTTCACTCCTCGCGCAGAGCCCCGCAGAGTGGCGCTTTCCCAGGACCACGCAGCAGCCTCTGTCAGGCTCTGGACATCCCTGGGCTCTGCCACCCAGGCCAGAGCCCTTCCCTGGGCTGTGTTTGACAGTTAAACTCCCAAAATTACTTTCCATAACTTGTCCCCACCTGAGCCCTCCACACCTGCCCACCTCCTGCTGAGGCGAGATGAGGGGCAGCCCCGGCTAGACTCCGCCATGCGGCAGCTGTCAGTGGCAGGAGCCAGAGTGTGGCGGAGCCCCGTCTCTGGCAGGCGGGGAGTGATGGGGGGCCTCACAGCTGGGGGCCTCACACGGCTGCTCTGAGTCCCTGCTGGGGAGGGGAGGCAGGACGGGGCAGCCATGACTTGTCTCTGATGGCGGTCACAGGCTGGGCATGGTCTGTCTGTGGGCTTGGGGGGGGGTGGGGAGACCTTGTTCTTAATTAAGCACAGAGACTTGGGAGGGGGGTGCTGCCAACCCCAGCCTGGGACTGTGTGGTCCCTTTGCGCACCGTGTCCACCCTCGCATCCAGCCCCAGTGTAGGCAGCTTGAAGTTCATGTTTTTAACTCTTCAGCAGCATTTTTCTTTTCTTTCTTTTCTTTTTGAGACAGTCTCCCTCTGTCACCCGGGCTAGAGTGCTGTGGCGTCAGCCTAGCTCACAGCAACCTCAAACTCCTGGGTTCAAGCAATCCTCCTGCCTCAGCCTCCCGAGTAGCTGGGACTATGGGCATGCACCGCCAAGCCCGCCTGGATAATTTTTTCTGTATGTTTTTTAGTTGGCCAATTAATTTCTTTCTATTTTTAGTAGAGATGGGGTCTTGCTCTTGCTCAGGGTGGTTTCGAACTCCTGATCTTGAGTGATCTTCCCGCCTCAGCCTCCCAGAGTGCTGGGTTCGCCTCGGCCTCCCAGAGTGTTGGGTTCGGCAGCATTTTTTGTTGAAAACAGGAACAGGGCTTCATCACCATTTGTACGCTTGCTCTGTTCTGAAAGTGTTTGCATGTGGCAGGGGCCCAGTGGCTGGTGGTAGCCTGACCCCCTTTCCCACCTCCCCTACCCTGAGTTCTGACACCCATATCCCAATGCCAGGGTCTCCTGCACTGACTGACCCTAGATGCTGGTCAGTGCTTGGTGGGGACAGTGGGGACAGGACAGGGCAGGAGAGCTGAAGAGAGCAGACCCTCAGGCTCTGTGACCGGCATGTGCTGGTGATGCTCTGACAGCAGGATGGTCGGCTGTGGCCCATGCGTCACCCCAAAGAGTTGGGGTCTCTCGAGGTGGGGCCGTGGGTGTGTAGAGCAGGAAGATCACAGGGTGCTGACAGCACATTGAAACCCCTGGCTCTGCACACGAGTAATCATTGTGCTGTTTAATCAGTGTCGCACGGTGAAGATTTCCATCCTGGGGGATGAGGGCGTACCTGTACAGGTGGATGGAGAGGCCTGGATCCAGCCCCCAGGGTACATCCGGATTGTCCACAAGAACCGGGCACAGACGCTAACCAGAGATAGGGTAAGAATGGCTGCCTGCGGCGCCCCAGGGCTGGGGCCCCAGGGTTCACCTGTGGGGTCACCTGTGCACTTTAAAAGAAGAGCCAGAGTTTTTCATGTCTTTTTGTATGGTTTTTTTTAAGACACTCGATTAAGGTAATAGGGCAGTAATTTCTAGGACCATCTCCTCCCCTCTGCAAAAACAAAGTCTGTGTCTCCCCGCTTCCTGGTTATCTGGGTGTGTAGCAGTGTGCTCAGCTCAGACGCACACTCGCCCTCTCGAGGGCGCTGTAGGGAGTGCAGTTCTGGGCTCTGGCATCCTAGGCATTTGAGAACACCTTGAAGTCCTGGGAAGACAAGCAGAAGTGCGAGCTGCCCCGCCCGGCGTCCTTCTCTCTGCACCCAGAGATGCTGTCTGAGGAAGAGGCCACCCAGATGGAGCAGTTTGGGCAGGCGGCCGGGGTCCTCATTCACAGGTGGGCTCCGCCTCGCCGCACCCACTGTGGGCCCTCCTGATCTGTCTGCTGTGTCTGCGTCATCCGTGGGGGCTGAGCCTGCGTCCGCTTGCCTTGGTGTGCTGGCCTGTTTCCCCTGATCGTCTTTCAGAGATTCTTGGTGTTGACATAGATGGAAACCTAAAAGCCACAGTGAGTTTTAGAGCCACTTGCAGATTTGAAAACCTGCCCTGGACTCCTGAGGATAGTCCACTGATGGCTGCCTTCACTTTGTCTCAGAGAGCAGGTTTGCACTCTGCTCTTATGTTTACTTAAAAAAGGCATTTCCTTTTCCCCTCATTGAGAAGCGGCTCCTACAGCCACTGTGTCCTTTGGGGCAGGCCTGGGTCAGCGCTCTGTCCACTGTTCTCCCTACCCACCTGTATGGCCACTGCTGCTGCTGACCTGGGACTCTCTAGCTGTTGCCCGATTCTTCCAGCTGTGTGTGACTTTCCTGCCTCCACACTCTGACTCCCTGGCTTCTGGCCACCCCTTCCTGGCTTCACCTGGGCTCCTTCCTCTTTTCCCAGCTGTGGGTGGGACACCCTGGGATTTGGGCTGGCGTTCTGGGTGCCCTTCCCAGGCCGCCCTGCCTGGCCTGGTGTGTGGAAGGACCACCTGTGTCAGCTCCAGCTCCTGCCCCCCCCCGCACCAGCTCTTGTCTAGCAGCTTGGTCCCTTTCCTGGTCACCCACGGGTGTGTCTCGTTTGGTATGTCTGAACTGGCACCTTCGTTCTCTGCCTTGGTAGTTGGTGTCACTGCTGCCCCGGCCTCTGACTAGGGCTACTGTGCTCCCCCCCAACATCTCCCTGACCCAGATCGGTGATGGGGCTGGGGGGCTTCACTTAAGCATTCATCCAATTCATTGCTCTGCACCTGGCGGCCTCCTATCTTCATTGGTGCCTCCTCAAAGCCTGTGGTGGCCTTCCCGGAAGGTGTGCATGCCTCGACTCAGCCCTGTGGAAAGCTGTTAGCAGCGGCCCTTTCCCCCAGCTCTAGACAGGTGGCTGCCACAGCTTTGCCTGCACCTTTCCCCATCCCCCAGCCCACCTGCCAGCCTCGGACACCTGCCCTGGCTCGTGCTCTCACCAGCTCCCCTGTGGCTGAGGCCTGGGCTGTGTGTAGGCCCCATCTCAGCCCATCATTACATTGAGATTATCCGTTTGGAGGAGGGTCCTCTGTCCCCATGTATAGCATGGCCTGGTACAGGTTCCAGGAGGGCCCTGGGCTTGAGCAGCCGTGTCCTATGTCTTGGGCCCCTCTGCACCTGCTCACGTTACTGCAGGGGCTCTGTGCAGTGGGCCCACACCCAGTGCTGCCCTCTGGCTGTTGTACAAGGCCTGACCCTCATTTTGTACATTTTCCTCTCTGCAAAACTTGGATTTTGGTGTCAGATTTCCCATTTTAAGCTCTTATTTGTCTGCTGTTGGTCAGGAAATGATCTATAAGGTTGTCCTGTGCCAGTGACCACCACTGAGTGGTTGTCATGGCCAAGCCACGGTCCCTGCCACCCTGCCGTGCCAGCCCTCTGCCTTGGCCCTGTGGGCGATACTGGGGCTGTGTTCAGACAAGTGACGTCTCGGCCCTTTTACCAGACCTGACGCCTGCCTGCTTTTCTTTCTGTCTAGTATCCGGGAGATAGCTCAGTCCCACCGAGATGTGGAGCAGGAACTTGCGCACGCCGTCAACGCCAGCTCCAAGTCCATGGACCGAGTGTACGGCAAGCCCAGAGCCGTGGAGGTACCTGCTCCTTCAGCGCTGGCTCCTCCCTAGCTCGCTGAGCCTTCGGCCCTTCTCAGACCTGTATGTCCGCTTTCTCTCAGGGGCTGAACTGCAGCTTTGTCCTGGAAATGGTGAATAACTTCAGAGCTCTGCGCAGCGAGACGGAGCTGCTGCTGGCCGGGAAGATGGCCCTGGTGAGCCGACGCCCGGGAGCGGGCCCTGGCCGTCCAAGAAACGCCGCTGTCTCTGGGCACGGGGCAGCATGTTTCGGTCGTGTTCTGGGCCTTTAGGGAGGGCCTCCGGGTTGTCTGGTCTGCTCGTGGGGCTGGTGCTCAGTCCTGGCAGTGTCCCTGCGAGGCTGTCCTTAGCGTGTCAGAGATTCCTGCAGCGGGAACATCTTTGTTGTAGACAAAAGAGCAAAAGCTGTGTTTCTGCCTCAGAATCCTGTGGGTGCAGAACCCGCCGCTGTGGCTGAGAGCCGGCTGTCTCCTCAGCGCCCAGCGCCCTCCTCACTCAGCCCCCCAACCGGCCACGTCGGCCTGGGGAGCCACAGTCACAGGAGGGTCCCTGAGTCACAGAGGCCGGAATAGGGAGAGCCCGAGCGATGGCCTGGCGGCCTTCTGGTTCACAAAATGGGGGTGTAGGAGGGACTTGCTGAAGGTCTCGCAGCGGGAGAACCACCCCAGGTCTGGCATCTGTGCTCCCCGCTCCGCGTTGCACACGTGCGCTGCCTCCCGCGGTCACACGTGCTGATTAGCTCTGCTGCCTCTTGGGATTTCCTCTGCTTGGCGCCGTGGATGGCCCTGTCCTCTTGCTGCCAGTGAGCTCGGGGAGAGCAGAGCAGGTCCAGTGTCGGTCCTGCTAATCGTGACTTCATTATTTATGTTCTCTCACCTGGTACTGTTTAGAAAGGGAGGTTTTAGGTTTGGTGTCTAATCCAGTGCCCTGTGACTTAGTTTCTGGAAAGTTTTTATAAGCACTTTCCCGAGGAGCTCAGGGCTTCGCTGGGCCTGGCGCCTCCCTGCGATCAGCAGCTCTCCCCTCTCCCCCCTGCCCGGAGCAGCAGCTGGATCCCCCCCAGAAGGAGCGGTTGGGGAGCGCTCTCGCCGAGATGGACCGACAGCTCAGGAAGCTGGCGGACACCCCCTGGCTCTGCCAGCTCACGGAGCCTGGCGACGAGGAGGTAGGTAGTGCCGGGTTCGGCGCCTGCGTTCTGTGGGGCCTGTGCAGCTCGGGGGTAGCTCGCAGTGTGCCTTCTCGAAAATCCTCCATTAAAAAGCCCTTCAAGGCAAGGAGAGACTTCGCAGGTAGGAAGGAATTGGGGGTTGGGTCTAGAGCGCGCCCTGATAACCAGGCGCACCTGCCCTCTGAAACAGAACCTTGGGCTGGGCCAGGAAGAAGGGATTAGGAAGGCGAGCCCAGGCCTGCAGCCGGCCCCAGCGTGGAGACACACTGTGCGGATAAATGGCAGCTGCTTGGGAGCTTGCCGCGGAGGGATGGGACAGAGCTGGGGCGCTCTGCTCCCCACCCACACTTCTTCCTCTGCGTGTGCTCAGCCACCCCAGCGTGCCACAGGTCTTACCGCTGGGATGGACAGGACCCTGGGCATACTGCGCCCCGGGTGAAGTCACATCCTACAACAAGGAGAACAGGCAGAAAGCACCTAGGAGAGGGCAGCATCTGGACAGGGACAGACCCTAGACTGCCTCTGGGCTTCCCCTGGGGGCGGACCAGGAGGGGCTGGGAGAAAAGTTCACTTTGGGCAACACAGTGACAGAAGATAAGTAACTGTTAGATGCTAAACATGGACAGCCCTGCCCAGCCTAGTTTGAGAACCCGCTGGAGCAATAGGGTGAGGGCCCAGAGCTGGGCGGCAGCAGCTCAGCACGCTGTTCCCGGATGCTCGGGCTTTTGCACACTCTTCCTGGGAAGCCGGCTCAGCGCCCTTCCAGCACACTGACAAAACTCAGCAACTTGAGAACGAGGGTGTTTTGGTGTGAAAGGGCAAGCTCATCAGAATCATTGGTTAATAGTTAATTATAAGTGTGATAAAGATCTCACTTAAAATGACCGCAGTGACAATACATGACCTGTTCACCAGATGCGCAGTAACGGCCACAATTCCAGGTCATGTCGTCAGCGCTGGGGACGTGGGCAGTAGGCGGGTGGCCAGGAAGAGGGCGTGGATGGGGATGAAAGCACATTACGTTCCTCCCCTTAAGGGGGAAGAAAGTTAAAAACGACTTTCTTGACTTAGATAATTAGAGAAACGTAGAGTCAGTAGTTTTAAAAACTTAAAGCTAGTTTCTAATAGAATTGAAAATATTTATGTCTTTCTAAATCACCACAAAAGACAGAAATAAAATAGGATAACCTATATTATAAAATACAATAAGGGAGTAGCAAGCATATAACAGCATAAATATAACAGAAAGATGGCATGGCTTCCTCTTAAAATCAAATCATTCTTAGATCATGTTAAGTGAGAAACCTAAGCAGATACTAAACACAAGGGCCTATTTTCTTTCCCATGCCCCTGCTAAAAACTAATGACCCAGAAAGATTAAAAATAAAATAATTACAAGAAACCACAATAAAATAATCCAAAATAACAATGTTAACATAAAAGTAGAATTGCACACCTATGACAGTAAATGGTAAAAAGAAAATCACATTATAATTGGTAAAACATAATAATTGTTACTATATAAAGTCTTAAACTTATGATGACTGTAAAAGCCAAAAAACTGCATGCCAAGGAATAAGCACCTAAATGAGTTATTTAAACGTATGTTATTTATTTTCCATTGTATGGGATTTTTCTAATTATCTTTTTGTAATTGATTTCTAACTTAATTTCATTGTGCTCCAACCCAGTGGTCTGTATGTTGCTGTCCTTTGAAATTTATTGAGACTGGCTTTATGGTCCAACAGGTGGTTAGTATTTGTTAAATGTACCTTGTATGCAGTTGTATTGTTTACATCATTAAGTCCCCACCGAAATTTTTTTTGTCTTCTTGAGGTATCACTCGTTAACTCTTTTACCGTGATTATAGATGTCTCAGTTTATCTTGTGGTTGTGTGTGATTTTGCTTTATGTATTTTCGAGGCTGTGTTATTGGATGCACATAGGTTATTATTATATAATGACCCTTTTGTATTTAGTAATTCTTTTCGTCTTCAAGTCTACTTACTTGGTATATTCTTTTTCATACTTTTACTTTCAAGCTTTATTTGGGGTGTCTCTCTTATATAATTAACCAGCATATCACAAGGTGACTCATTGTTACCTGCACGCTTCCTCCGGGGTGCTCTGGTGGCTGCACTGCTGTGTCCCTCTCTGCTGTTCTGCCTCGGGGAGTGCGTCCCTAGCAAAGAATGCAGCGTGCAGGGACAGCTTTGTTCAGAAAGTACTCATAATCCTAATCGAAGCCTAGAAATCCAACACTGGAAGACTGGCTAAATAATTTATTTTAATAATTTTCATTTAATAGAGTATGATACTGATATTTAAATAATATTTACTAAAAGTTTTTTAATCACCTAAGAAATGCAAATGTTACAAAGTGAAAAATAATATAAAAAAACTATGATCACTTTTTTTTTTTCGAAACCACTTTTAAAAGGCATTAAAATCAACAATAAATACAAGCATAAAAAACGGGAAACACCTTAAAGGAACAGGTGTCTCTTCCCAGATCCCTTCTTGTTTTGCGCCTCCCCCTCCCCTCTCCCACCGTCTAATTCCCAGTGTTTCTCTCTCCCCAACAGAACGTGATGTTGGATCTTTCCAAACGCAGCCGCAGCGGTAAATTCCGCCTCGTGACCAAGTTTAAAAAGGAGAAAAACAACAAGAACAAAGAAGCTCACAGTAGCCTGGGCGCCCCGGGTACCTGCCCCTCTCCTGTGTGTGTCTCTGGCCGTCCACGCCCGCTGCCTTGGCCCGGTTCTCCCAGCCTCTGCTTTCTCCTTGGCCCGCGGCTCCTCCCCGTGGTCCCGGTGCTGTAGCCGTGCCCGCTCGGCTGCAAAACCACACCCTTGCCTGCCCTCCACGTCACACCTGCCCCGAACGTGCCCTCCACAGAGACTCTGGGTGGTGGGCCTCCGAGCTGTCCTGCCTGCCCTGAATTGGGGTTCAAGGTGGGGAGGGAGACTGCAGAGGTGACGAGACAAACTTGGAGACGCAAACTCTGGACTCGGGCCTCGCCGGGCCACTGAGCCTGCTTCCTCTGATGGGCTGCTGTCCCCATGTAATCGGGTCACTGATCGAGGTTCTCGTGGGAACCCCAGGCCACCAGTGATTGTGGGTGATGGAATCAATATAAAATGGCACTAAAGGACATTTTTCCTTTGGGTTAATAAATTGGGGCTTAAAAAAATCTCTGTCTGAGGTATCAGCCCTGAGCACCAAGGCTGTGTCCAGCACTGTTGGGTGCTGGATGGGCCCCCATGCCTGGATTTTGGGCGTGGCATTTGCTGCCAGTAGGGCAGCTTCTTTTGATTTTTCTTTGCATGTTTGTGCAAAAATTGGGTTTCTGTTAATGGTGATGGCTTGACTGTGTGAGATCTAAATCTCTGCGTGTCTCCCTTCCTGCTACGGCCCCCAAGCGAAACGTAACCCCTCTAGGAGCCGGAGGAAAAGCTGGCTTTGGCCACACAGTCATGAGGATCTTTCCCTCATGGTTGGTGGTGTTTAATCCTCCTGGGACATGAGGGAACGTCCCAAAGGCTGGCGGCCCACCTGGCAGGAACAGATGCCAGCTCTGCGCCAGTCACACCCTGGCGTAGGGGCTCCCCTGCGGCTTCTGCACGGCTGGCATTGCTGCCCGTGCCCAGGTGGTGGGCACCAGCTCCCCGGGTGTGTCGGCGCTGGCTGCTGGGGTATCTTGGGCGCTGGCTGCTGGGGTGTCTTGGGCGCTGGCTGCTGGGGTGTCTTGGGCGCTGGCTGCTGGGGTATCTTGGGCACTGGCTGCTGGGGTATCTTGGGCGCTGGGTGCTGGCTGCCACCTACCTCGCGCTGGGCTCTGGGCACTCACTGCACTCGTGCTTTTCCGTCTCTGACAGTTCACCTCTGGGGGACAGAGGAGGTTGCTGCCTGGCTGGAGCACCTCAGTCTCTGTGAGTATAAGGACATCTTCACGCGGCACGACATCCGGGGCTCTGAGCTCCTGCACCTGGAGCGGAGGGACCTCAAGGTACTTCCACAGGCATCTCGGAACCCGCACCTGGGCTTCCACGCAGCTGCCTCCAGCGCTGTCCTGCCCCCTGGCCAGGCCGTGTCCCAGCATCACGATCCTTTTTATTTTTCTCCTCAAGCTCTGGCCTTTGTGTGTGCCGTGGGTGGGGCAGTCCTTGCCCTTGGCGCGATGGCCCCACCCACCCAGCCCAACGCAGCCAGGAGCAGACACGATGGGGAAACCTTGATTTGCTTGGCGTCCTTAGACAGGGGACCACTGTGACAGTGACACCCTGCTGGGCAGGCGGTCCTGCGCTGCTGGCTCACACTGCAGAGCTGTGGCCCTTGGCGTCCGGGTCTCCCCGGGCTTCTGTAGGGAGCGGAAGGTCACAGGCGACTGTCCCTACCTCGCAGGAAGCGGTGGGAGGGAGAAGTCAGGCCCAGGCATGGCTCGGTCTGTGCCAGGCCTTAACGCCACGCCTCAGGCTGCCTGGCCGCCCGAGCCCTGTGGGCGAAAGGCCACCGTGGGTGTCTTGGACAGTGGCTGTGGCCAGGTCATCTGGCATCCCTGGCTCTCAGGCCTGTGTTTTGTCCTTGTCTTGGATTTGTGTGTGACGACAGCAGTGGCTCGTAGGAGGCAGGAGCGATGCATCGGCGTCTGCATGACTGTCACCTTGGTGCCCTTTCCATCCCAGTCCCCCTCATGCGTGTTGAGAGCTGAGTAGGCAGGGCCGTTGGTGCGGGCCGTCCGTAGAGCCCTCGGCCGGCTTTCTTCCCGGCATCCACGGTGGCTTCCCTCTGTTGCAGGACCTCGGCGTGACCAAAGTGGGCCACATGAAGAGGATCCTGTGTGGGATCAAGGAGCTGAGCCGGAGCAGCACTGCCGCCGAGGCCTAGCCTGCGCCCTCTCAGCCTGCGTCCCCCGCCCCGCCTGCCACTGAGGCCCGGGCGCTGCCCCGCGCAGCCGCCCTTCCTATGGTGCTACCGCTCCGCCAGCCTCGCGCCTCTCAGCGGCTACGGCTCGGACAAACCAACACAGCTACCTTCGAGACGCGTCTCCCACGGGGGCCGAATGGGCAGACGTGACGCGCCCACTCCGGCCCTCGCCGGCTGCGTTGTGGCCGCGGGTACGGGCGGGCCTGGCTTCCAGCCCGGCCCCTCCCGCAGAACCGCCTGGCCACGAGCTTGAGTCACGCGGGCCTCCTGTCCGTGTGTCCCCACAGCCGCACCCGGGGCTCTGTCCCTGGCGCCGGCTCGCGGGGTGGGGTGAGGGCCCAGCCCACGGGGACCCTGCGCAGAACGTCCCGGCCTGTGGCTCCGCCGCAGCCACCACGCGGCCCTGCTGTCGTCCCTATTTGTTAATAAGGTGTTCTTTTAAACACTGTCCGCCTCTTTCCTGGTTTGAAAGTGGCACGGATGTATTTCCAGTAGTTCATTTTAATTTGACACGAGGAGAAAGAAAAGATCGTTCCTGGTTAAGCCACGTCAACGGTCTCACGTTCCTGAGCTGATCCTCGCGGCTCCCTCCAGCCGTGGGCGTGGGATGCGCTCCCGCCCCTCCCTGCAGGTGCCACAGGCCTGTGAGGCCACCTGGGGCTGGGAGCGAGCTGGTGTCCAGCCCAGCCCCGCGGACGGAGGGCTCCTGAGCGGAGCCCTGGGCTCTTCCTGTCCCGCGGTTCCCGGGCAGTGTCCCGGGTCGGGAGCCGTCTGGGCGCTTCTTTCCATTGGGTGGCCGGAGGCTGGTGCTGTCTTGAGAGTCTCTGCCCCTATGGTGGCTTTTGTTTCCTGCTGTCCCTGGAGGTGTCGGCGGGACTGTGGCCCAGTGCCCACGCTGCCTCGCCTCTGTCCTCAGGTGTGATGTCCCGGCCACGGGCAGGGCCAGCAGATGGCAGTGCCAGCGGCTGGGGAGCTCCCCTAGGGAGAGGGCTGCAGCCCGGGGACAGTCCCCAGGTGGGGCGCACCCCTGGCCTCGCAGGCCCCGACTGCCCTCCCATTCAGAGACGGTGTCGGCTTCCGTAACCCGGCCCTGGCACGGCACGGCCTGGCTGCCAGGCTGTGGTCCACATCCCGAAAAGAAGGGCAGCGTCAGCAGTCTGTGGGGCCGTCCAGCCGTTCATTTGTGTCGCCCTGTCTGACACGTGAGGAAGCCGGGCAGGAGTGGCACCCGGACACCCGCAGAGCCGGCTGGATTCGGGCTGGGGCGGGGCAGTGCTTTGCCTCGCTTCCTTCCAGCCCTGTCTCGTGTCCGTCCTGTGGACCGGGTGGCTGCTCCGTGTGCTCTGGCCAGGCCCCGCCTCTGCGGCGTGGACGCACTCCCCAGGCCCGCCGTCCACCCTTGCGGCCACGCGACCCTGCCGTGAGGTGTTGGGCTAGGAGTCTTGGGTGGGAGAATCTCCTCCTCCGTCCGCGGGCTGTGCTGCCTCATTGGAAGTAACGTTGGGTGGGGGTGGTGTATGTCCCCTTCCCTCTGGGATTCTGTGTCCCACAGTGCAGCATTCTAGGCGGGGGAGGTGGAGGAGGAGAGAAGCTGGCCACGGAAGTCACGGGACTGCCTGGGTGGAAGGGCTGAGGCGGGTGGCAGCAGCCGGTCTCGCAGCCCAGCGCAGCGGCACCCTGGGCCATGTGGGGATTGGGTGAGGACGGGCCACGAGGAGGGAAGCTGCCCGTGGAGGCTGCTGGGGCACCAGGCCCACCCCAAGTCCTTGGTGTCCTCTTGGGAAAGCGTAGGGTTTGGGTCAATGGTGGTGTTGAAAATTAACATGTCGTCAGTGGTTACAACAGCACTGTTTACATAAAAACCATTTTTCTAATTCTAACAAGTTAGAAGTGAAAAGGAATGAGCATGAATGTTTAGGAAACTGCCTGTCGCGTGCTGGGCTGTCCCCACACTGTGGCGGTGTCCTGCCCTGCCCCATGTCCCCTCGCGGTGTTCTGGACGGACTCACGGTCCTGTCCACGTAGAGGAGGAAGGAAGGATCCCTGGAGAGTCTTGGAGAGAAGGCTTTGTGCCCTCAGGTGGGGCCTACCCTCATATTTATAACCTTAATTTATACAGTGAGCGCCCTGGAAGTGAATGCCTCTTGTATTGTTATGTACATAGTCCACGCCCGAATGCTGTAGATACGTTGTTCTGTGTATAAATAAAACAAGCCTGTTTTTGATCTTCCATTGTCAGAGCCTTTGTCATCATTCCTTGTGCTTTGACATGAAACATCACTTGGCAAAATCTTTCCAAACTGGATTCAGAATTATTTTTAGCTGCTCTAAAATAGGTTGAATTGGTGGTGGCTGAAAAGCCAAACAGGATGCCATTGAGCTTTATAGGGTGTGGCTCTGTGGTCTGTTGGGTTAAAAATTGAGCAAGGAGGTGTGGGGTGCTGAGGTTCTCAGACTCCAAGGCTGCATGGCCACACAGATCTTTTCTATAAAGCTGCACACCTGGCTCTCCTGCTTGTTTGGTCGTAGTACCTTTATTCCAAGGGAGCTGCCTCTGAGATCGAAGTCACTTTGTTATCCTCTGATTTCCTGGGGTGAGGCCTGGGCACTGGGTTTTCATGAAAGACAAAATCAGGTTGGTGGGATAAAGAAGGGTTGCATGGGCTTTGGAAGTGCTGGTCACCTCCCTTGCAGCTCTTTGTCCCTGCTTCCCTGCTAACAGAGCCCCCCATTTTTCACCCCTGGGCTGCATTTTCCATGTGGCCTGTTCAGGACTTCAGGACTCATGGTTATAAGATGGCTGCCGTAGCTCCAGGCATCACATCCAGACATGACTGTGTCCAATGTAAGGTGTGTGGGGGCAGACGCTGCCTCTTTTGCGTGTCTCTTTTTAGATAAAGGGAACCTTTTCAGAAGCTGTGGTTTCAGGCCAGGCGCAGTGGCTCATGCCTTTTAGGCATGTAATCCCAGCCTTTTAGGAGGCTGGAGCAAGAGGATTGTTTGAGCCCAAGAGTTGGAGGCTGCAGTGAACTATGGTTGCACTACTGCACTCTAGCCTGGGTCTAGAGTGACCCTGTCTTAAAAAAAAAAAAGCAACCATGCCTTCAACTGACTCACCTGTGTCTCTAGGCTAGAACTGCATCACACACCCAGGACTGAACCAGTCAGTGCAAAGGGTATGGGACTGTCACAATGCTGGCGGCTGACGTATATTTTATGCCAGGCATAAAGTACAATCTTACACCTCTCAACTCCTCTAATCCCGTAACAGTCCGTAACAGTCCTTCATGGCGGGTGTCTCTCTTTTACAGACGGGGAAGTGGGCTCAGAGGTGCCACATCTGCCCCAGGACACAGCCAGCATGTGGCCAAGATGGGAGCCCAGGGCAGTCGGGCACCAGAGACCACACTTTTTCGAGTGCTGTGCTTTCCTGTGTGACAGGTGAGGAACAGGGCTGTGTCTCGGGCAAACTTCTGGCACAGAAGCCGGGGCATTGACTTCTTGCTGGTAGCACGTTGATGATGGGGCAGGAGCTGGCTGCGGGGAGGCTGGTGTGGCCCCCTGGCCTCCACCCCGTGCCAGTGTGGCCTGTCTCACACTGGGCTTGGCTCCGTTGTTGGAAAGTGGTCAGGAAGAGCTTCTCCAAGAGATGGCATCTGGGGTGGGGGGAGGCCAGATGGCAATCTGAAGGAGAGGGACAGTTCGAGTGTAGTGTGACTGCAAAGTGGAGAAATGTGTGGTCCGGGTGTTTTCAAACTGAACCCCTTGAGAACTCCCACCAGTTAGAAAAACAAACTGAGTGGCCTATCCGGTTTCAATGTGATCTGACCCAGGAATGTCAGCGGCGCACTGGATCTGCTGCCCCTTCCTTCTGTTTGCTGGAAAAGAGTTTTATTATGGCCACCCCACCCCTTTGTCACACTTGTCACTTAGCTCTAGGCTGCTGACCAGAAATCCCATCCACTAGACCCAATCAGAGCTCTGACCTGGGCTGGAGCAGGAGTGGGTCGCACCTCTGGGTGCCTCTCTGTGGGGGGTGGGGCAGGCGTGGCTGGGTCGTAGGTAGAATAGCCACACGCAGGTGGGGACCCTGCCACCTCTGAAGCATATGCATGGCAAGCACGGGCACTTGGAGGTTCTTTTCGCAACCTGCCTTCGCCTCTCTCCCACAGTCGTCTGAAGGGAGCTGAAGACAGGCGGGCAAGCTGCCCACTGCAAGCCAGGACTTTCACATGTTCCAGGAAGGTGCACGTGGCAGCTGACAGGGTGTCATGGAGCTGCTGGTGGCATCTCAGCACCTGCAGGAGGATGCAGCCAACAGAGGCTAGGGCCTGGCAGAGGCTCCCGCTGTCCTCTGGGCACTCGCCTGACCTGGGCCTGATGCACACTTGGGGGCTCTAGTTTCATGGCCCTGGAGACCCCGTTTTTGGTCCAGCCAGTCTGAGCTGGGGTCAATCACCTGCCACTGAAGGGTCCTGGCTGCCACACTGTGGCTACTGACGCAGGGGCCGTGGACACCGAGCACTTGCCTGTGTGTGCGTGCGGGGCAGAGGGACTTGGAACAGCTGGCGGGAGCTGGAGACGGTCTCTGATTTCACTCTTGTGGGGAGAAGCTGTTTGCTCTGCTCCTGGAGTGCAGTGAATTTCCAGAATGTTAACGTCCCCGTGCTACAGTTCCGTGCACGTTGCTGAGCCTGCATGCCGAGCTCTGGGCTCTGGACGGCCGGTGATCAGGACCAGAAGGAACACGAACCGTCGGTCCCCTGTCCAGACAGGGCAGGCGCCAGGGCTACTGTAATTTGGTCATTCGCAGGTAAGTCTGTTCCAGAGGGAAGCCGACATCTATGAAGCCACAATTGTGTATTTTCAGGGAATTCTTGCCTCCTTTCCTTTTTTTGGCCAGAAAAACATTACTGCTGAATATAAATGTTTTCTGCAACCCAACCACCTCTGCTAACCCCACTTCCCTGGGAGGCAGGGACAGCTGGAGTACATCCAGTTTCCTCCAATACGACTTTGCTCAGGAGTCTGAGTTTTATTTATTTAAAACCAAAACACAATTCTGTTATTTCTAAAGCAGCACTGATACAGTCTTCCTAAATATAAACCATGTTTATTTAGCATCTGAAGTATGCTTGGGGTAAGTAGGCCACAGAAGTTCTCTCTTAAGCAAGGAAAACATGAAGCAGTCAGCACATAGCAGACACGAAGGACTTCAACTTTAAAAATGGTTTATTCTTTAACAAAATTTTAGAGCTTTTCCCTTGTATAGCCCAATCTACCCCCAAATTAAAAAAAAACAAAAGGAAGAAAAAAGGAAGGAGAGGAAAGAAAGGAAAGGAAGAAAGAAGGAGGAGGAAAAAAAAGGAAAGGAAGGAAGGAAAGAAAAGAAAAAGGAAAGAGCAGGCAAGCGGTCCGGCAGAAAGGCATCACGCACGTGTGCACAGGCCCCGGCGGGCTGCGGAGTGCGCCCCCTGCTGGACGGCACTTTAAGGCACGTCCAACCCCACTCCCTTGGTACTTCCATTAATAGGAATGTTCAGTGAGGCCTCTGGCGTCCACAAGCAAAGCTTTTCAGTTATTACATTAATATTACTACCGTAAGATGGGCTGGAGGAACATACTAAGGAAACATGTCAGTTAAAGTGAAGGAACCGGAACAGCCTGCACGCAGAGGGGCAGGCAGCACAGTCAGTCAGGACGCCGGCAGTTTTGGTATCACCCCCCACGTGCATCTGCAAGGACAGGCTGCCCGAGCGTGCGATTCCTGAGGCCGATCGTGTCTGGGAGCTGGGAGCAGCCTGCCGGCCGGGCCACTCCTCACACCCTGAGCGCCTCCACAGCAGCGGGCACGTAACCTGTGACACAGAAATGCTCAAACGCACAGTCGAGGTGAGGCTTTCTCTCTGATGACGGTTTGACGGTGTTGGCAGGAGGGCAGAGAAGGACCTGCTTGGCGTCCGCTCTACGGAAAAGGTGACGCAGGCGAGAGCTGAGTGTGCAGGCGGAGATGCTGCGCCAGTGTCACTTCCCTCCCATCTCAGCAGTTCTGGTTCACATGCGTGACGAGGGGCTGACGAGAAACTGAAATCCAGATGACGGCCGGGCTGAGAACATGCGACATCTTAGGAATGCTGCTTTCCACTCGGCTGGTGTCAGAGGAAGTCAGCCATCCCGTTGTCCCGAATCAATTCAGTGACACAGGTGCTGTATTTACAAATGCCAATTAGATCCTTTAAGTTGATCAGTAATCTGTGTTGAATTAAGAGGAAAAAAATCTTTATACTTTCTTTTTCTCATCTGTTTTAACTGAGACTACTCAGGAATATGTCAACTCAGCCTGCCCAGGGCGACTTCGAGCCCGTAGACTGCGCCAGGCTTGTCCGCGCGGCCCTGCCCACCAGGCCTCCGGACCGCGGAGGCTGAGGCGCCCGGGGCAGCAGCAGCCACAGCAGTGAGAATGTTCTGGACACAGACCAGCTAGGTCAGACCGAGCACTCCGAGCTGGGCACACCGAGGCTGCCTCTGCTCTAGCAGAGCACCTGCAGCTTTGGGGGGTGTCCCGTCTGTCTCCTCATATGGAAAGCGCGCTAACACTTCAGCGTCACGGTTTTAACTCAGTGCAAAGGGGGAAACAGGAAATAGGTGAGGACCAGACAGCGTGGGGAAATGACGTCCAGAAAGCAGACTGCCCTTTCCAGTAAGGCACAGGCCCGGCCAGCCCAGCAGCATGAGATGAGAAGTCGGAGCCTTTGTCAATGCAGATGACTAAGAGAGTCATCTGAACAGTAGCGGAAGTGATTGAATACGTGCACATTTTACACAGATTTATCCGAGCTGAGCAACATGCCGTTTTAGCCATACCTGTGGTTAACGCACAAGTAGTAAATTTTCTGGTAAAAAGGGTGGCTGAGGGTCAGGTGTTGTGTGAGGTCAACACCTGGTTGGCACCTGTGCGCATGGTGTCAGGTCTGGTGTGTGTCATAGAGCTGAGCGACCAAGTGCACCTGCCTGGCCTGAGAGGAGATGTCCTGTGCTTGTGATGAAGCAGAGGACTTGGGACCTGAGGCTCCACAGGAACCAGCCGGTCCAGTCACAGACTGACAACAACTCGCTTTCATGGAGTGGACCAGATGGCTGTATCGGGGCGCAGAGCCTGGGCCCCGTGTCCCAGGAGAACAACTGTGGCCAGTGCTATCTGAAACTCCCAACATGGATAGAAAGAGAAGCTTCCGGTCCTCGGGGCCGGCCAGGCGTCTCTGCGCTGGAGAAGACATCGCTGCTCTGCGCGTGGAGGGCTTCTCGGCTGCGGAGACACAGAGGGGTCACGGGCATGGTGGGGGTCACCGAGTTGAAGGGTTTAGAATAACTCCAAAATTCGTCCCAATCCTCAGGGGCCAAGTTAGAATAGGCTAAAGGGATACGTGTTGATAATTTTGACAACTATTTCCAAACCACCCGAGGACCCCCGGTCACCCTCCCACCAGCCCTATGTGTGAGAATGGCAGGATCCCCACGCCCTGGCCGTGTGGCCTGTCAGACTCTGGGCTTTTCCACTCTGTTGGGTGAAAATGTCTCACAGCAGAGCAATCATTTTTTCTTTGCTTTTAAAACTGAAGTATAATGTTCATAGAGTACACACAGACCGTAAACACACAGCTCCACGAGCCATCACACACACACCCCTGGGTGACACAGCGCAATGGCTGCCTTTGCCCCTTCTGTCCCCGGCCCGAGGGAAATAGCCCTCTGAGTCCCACCCGGCAGACTGGCTCTCACTGGGTGCTCAGCACCGCTGCCCTTTCTGCTGCTAGGCAGCCTTTCAGCTGCATCCGAATTTGGCCGGAGGGAGTAAAGCTGCTGTGTGTGTTTTTGTGGAGAACATAACTTGAGAATAGGACGCTGGGCTCTGGGGGTGCACGGGAGACCCACAGGAAGCGCCACCACGGTTCCCACAGCGGCTGCTCTGATCCCACCCAGCACTGGGGGGGGGGGGGATCACTCCGCATCCTTGCCATACCGGGGCAGTCTTTGCCATTTTGGCGTTTCTGGCAGGTGTGCAGGGATACCAGAGAGTAGCCTGAATTTACATTTCTCTTATCGTGAATAGAGCTGGTTGAGCATATTTTATATGCTGGCATGCAATCTGCATTTCCTTCTCTGTGACCTGTTCATAACCTTTACCTGTTACTTTCATGGGATGGTTGGTCTTTTTCTTATTTACTTGCAGGTTTATTTCCAGAATTATAAACAACCATATCCTTTGATCCAGCAATTCCACTTGCAGAGATCTGTCCTACAGATATACCCACATTTGCATTGCAAGATGGCAAGTACACGAGGTTATTCACTGCGACAGTGGCAGACTGGAGACTCCTGCAAAGTCAGGAGGTGACTGCACCTTACCTACCCTGCGGTCTACCCGTGCAGAACGCCAAGCTCCAACCACGTGACGTGGGGTAAGTGAAAACCGCAAGGTATGCCAAGAAAGTGCTTGTGCCAAAAAAGAAGGACAAGCATGCTCTTGTGCCCCTGAACACAGAAGATCTGACGGGATGTGCAGGCGGGGTCCATATGGGAGTGGCCGCGGGTCTGGGGAGGAGACTTCTCAGTGAGCCTCTTTGGTGGCCTTTGAATTCAGAAGCATGTGACTTGTTGACTCTCCAAAAAATAGATAAAAGGAATGAAAAACAATAAAGTGGTGACCTCATGGTGCTCATAAAGATACAACCGTTCTATTATGCAAATGAGACACCTGAGGCTAAGATTTTGGCGACAGCAACATGTAAAAATGCCCTACCTGGAACAACACAGGGGGGAATGAAGGTGACAGGCTTGGAAAACTGCTGGATGACTCAAAATGATAGCCCTGCTGACAGCTAAGGCTCTGACAGAAGATGCACACGAGAAGTCAGGAGACAGTTTCATCACATTTAAATGTGGAAAAAGGCAACATTTTAGTGTGTATGAATAAACATGTGCGACACACACAGAATGTTGTGTGTGTGACTTGCGAGCAGAAAACCCCAAAGCAGCCAGACCGCTCGCTCCGAGGGCACCAGGCCTTGCGAGGTGCAGCGCTGAAACTGGGGTGTCGACTGTCCCTGCCCTCCTGGGGATCCCCGACGCGAGGGGAAGGTGCTGCCCAGGAGTTACCGAGGTGGAGCCCTCCAGTCAAGGGGCGCGCCCTGGAGGAGGGGCCCATGGGAGAGGGACAAGGGAAGCAGAGCGTCGTGGTCCGAGACGCCACAGCAAGGACGACATCTGGGCGCTGTAGGTCCATGTGTGCCTCCAGAATGAACAAAGGAACGAGCTCACTGAACGTGTGTCCACTGAGCATCCACACAAGCACTGTTCTAGGTTTCTTCCTCCATGCATAGAAAAAAATGAAGTCTACCAAGGCAGGAGCAATTAGAACACAGGAAAGTCTGACTTAGGAGAGAGCCAGAGTTACTGAGGCTGGGGTGGGGAGAGGATGGTGACACCCACAGGCCTCTGGTCTGGCCCGTGTGGAGGCGATGCTGTGGGCCAGGCACTGGGGCTCTTGGAAGTGAGCTGGCTGGACAGAATGGGCTGAACTTCACCAGTTCCTGGGGGCCATTCCAGGAGAGATCCTGGCAGGTGAGCAAGCCCAGAGGCCAGGAGAGGGCCGGGCCTTGCACGGGGGTCCTCGGCTTCCCCGGAATGGAAGTGGAGTGAGCCCGGCAATGGCGATGACTGGGCAGAGTGAGGTGGGGAAAGGGCAGGCAGGCACCAGCAGGGAGGCCGGGCGGAGGGCAGAGCCCGGAAAGGCAGGCAGAGGGGAGAGCATTGATGGTGGTGCCCTGGAGGAGGAGGCTGGGGCACTGAAGTCGCAGCGCCCCTGGGGGAGCAGCCAGGCTCTGTGAAGGAACCCTGGTGGGAGGCGGCAGCTGGGTGGTGCACGCTCGGGAGTGCTTATGGTTTTAGGTGCTGGAGACTGAGTGAAAAGCCGCGACCGGAAGTGCAGTGAGGCTGCGCACTGGGGAGAGGAGGACGCCAGTGCCCAGGGGAGAGGACGGCAGAGGCCTCACGATCCTCTGTGGTCCACGTCGCCTTTACACGCTCACAGAAAGCTCCAGGACCAGGAGGGGGCAGACTACAGATGCCCCCGCAAGATGCATAGCGGAGAAGAATCCCACACTGTGTTTCTCCATGAGGTAGTTTTACAGGGGAGTTCCCTGCCTCAGTTTCCCAGCAGGAGTAAGAAAAAGTCAGAGAGTGGAATGTGCCAGTGGAATGTTGGTGCGAATCCTAATAATTACCTTTTCTTTTTCCCCAGAGCGAGTTGTTGCTGTTTTTCTTTTCCAGTGTCGTCTCTGACTGTACTGAAATCCTCGTCGTCATCGACCAGGAGATTCTACATTTCAAAATAATTAATGAGCAATGTTTTCAGACATCTTTTAGCCTACATTTAAGAGATATATTTTTAAAATTACCTAAATTGACAAAAGGAGATATTCAAGTTTATATAAACTAGGTTAATAATTGATAAGAAACCTTCTAGTGCTCAGTGAAAACAAATTTGTGGGTGGCAGAAACAGCTTCATACAGGAAATTAACTTTCAGCCATCTGACTGACCTTTGCCTGCAACTATTAGGTTATTAAGTATGAAGTGTCCAATTTCCTTGAGTGCTGAGTGTGACGGTTGTTATCTCTGACATTTCACTTGGACTTCTTTTATGTTTATTATGAAGCTATATCATTGCTCTTTCAAATGCCCGGTTTGGCTTGTAATTATCTTTTAAATATTTTTTTAAGAGCAATTTTTGTGAAACTGGATAAGTCAAAAATGAATGTTACTTTAAAAGATGAATTCAGTCATGAATGCAGCACAGACAGCTTGAAATATCAAGGAAGCGTTCGGGAAAGGTTGGGCCAATGAACGCACAGTATATGTCAGTGGTTTGAGAAGTTCTGTTCTGGTGATTTCAATCTTGAAAATGAGCCACATGGGCAACCTGAGACCAAGGTGGATAATGATGAGCTGAAAGCTGTAGTGGAAGTGAATGCATCTCAACCTGTGTGTGAATTAACAGTAAGGTTTGATGTTACTATTCCAACAGTATTGGGCCATTTGAAACAAACTGGCAAGGTAAAGAAGCTGGATAGATGAGTGTCACATGAATTAAACATCAGAGAAATTGTCTCCAAGTTTGCCTTTCTTTGCTGTCACAATATAAAGGTGAACCATTTCTACACTATACTGTTACATGTGATGAAAAGTGGATTCTTTTCAGCAGTCACAAGCATTCGGCACAATGGTTGGATAAAGATGAAGTGCTGAAACACAGTCCCAAACCAAATTTTCATCAAAAAAAGCTAACAGTGTCTATTTGGTGGTCCAGCACTGGTATTATCCACTACAACTTCATGAAACTGGTCAATGGATTACAGCGGATGTCTGCTGCAACCAGTTGGAGGGAGTGATGAGGATACTTGCGATTAAGCAGCTAAGATTGGTCACTAGGGACAGACCAATCAATCCTGCAACACAACGCTCGACCACATGTCGCACAAACAACGCTGCTCAAACTACAGAGGCTGGACTCAGAAACTCTGCCATCCACCGAATTCACCAGACCTTGCACAGACTGACCACCACTTCTTCCAGGCTTTAGACCGCTTGTTGCAAGGACAAATATTCAATTCTTAACAAGCTGTGAAAAACACCTTTTGAGATTTCATCACCACTCACTCTCCAGGCTTCTTCACTGCTGGCATAAACAAGCTACAGTTAATATGGCAAAACTGTGTTGATAGTTTAGGCGCAAATTTGATTAATTGTACTGCTTCTTGTTTGAGATATAATAAACTACACTTTTGATTTGAAATTAGACATTTCATATTTACTAATGTAATAGAAATGCTTTGCCCTGGGGAAGAGCCCAACACCGGGGCTCTAAAGGGATCTAACTTAACCACTTGGAGACCGCGCTCACCGGCCGCGAAACCTTGCCTGCGGCCGGCACTCACAGTCCGCACGAGAGTGTGCGCTGCGCACTGACGACGGATCCGTTTTGCTCTTGTGTGATGAGGAAAGCTTTAAAGCACCGAAAGCTTGTTTTACTTTACACACAGCTTTACTTGTAATGTAAATCAGAATAGGTAACATATACATATATGTTTTCATTACGTTATTTTTAAATGTTGACTATTTTGATAAATGAAAAATTAGAAAAGTCATATCACAGCTGTTGGTTAAAGTTGATGCTCGGCTGTGCACCTTTGCATCACAGCTGTCGGCTGTGAAGTCGCTGTGCGTGTTCGTCTGTGGCTATCGACTACAGTCGACGCTCGTACTGAGGTGGTTAAGAACATAAAGCACAGGAAGGATCCACTGGATCCTGACAGGTCTCGTCACCGTGCTAGAAACACAACTGTTTGTGTTATTAATACTTCATTAATACTGTCAAAATACATAGTTTTCACCTATATATTTCTATAGCTAAATATGAGCTTCTGAAAGGCAAGGCCCATGTCTTTTAATTTCTCAGGGCGTTACAAATACAGGCTGCCCGGTAAGTTCCACTGAGCGAGCCAGCCTCCTTGCCGCCCGATGTCTGCAGGTGCTTTTCTTCTTTTTTAACGTAAGGTAAATATTGGCCTCTCTCCTGGCTGCCCACAGGGAGGGTGCCTCAGTGAGTGCTTGGCATATAGTAAAATGCTCAGTAAATGTTAGCTATTAATAATAGTATTATCTGTTTCCCATATTCGCTTCATTTCTAAAGGAAAAACTTAATAGATTCTGTAGATGTCCCTCCCCTACCCTGGAGCTCACTGTCCACTGAGTTTAATGTTATTGCTCCCACCTTCACTTTTATTCTGTGATTCTTTAGGGACACAATCCTCAGTGAAACCCAACATGGTTTTATTTTTATTTTTTTTGTTTTTTTTTGAGACAGAGTCTCACTTTGTTGTCCAGGCTAGAGTGAGTGCCGTGGCGTCAGCCTAGCTCACAGCAACCTCAAACTCCTGGGCTTGAGTGATCCTTCTGCCTCAGCCTCCCGAGTAGCTGGGACTACAGGCATGCGCCACCATGCCCGGCTACCAACATGGTTTTATACTGTATATAAATGTTTATCCTGTGACTTTGTTTTCTTTTCAACATTAAATATTTGCGTGTATTCTCATATTGGCGTATGTAGCTCTGGATTATTCATTGTAACTTCTGTGTATTATGCCACTGTATTGATACATTTTTTAAATTTATCCCCTTTTTGAGGGTCATTTAAGTTCTTTCCACTTTATGCTATTACAAATAGTGCTTCCCTGAACATGTCTATATCTCTGCATACATGTGAGCGAATTTTTCTAAGATACATATCTAGGAGTGGGATTACTTGGTTGTACTGTATGGGCATCTTTGTAGCAAACACTGCCAAACCGCCTTCAGAGCATCTGTACCCACTTACACTCCTGCAGGGCAGGTGTGGGGTTCTGCCAGTCCCGCTGCAGAGGCAGCTCTCTGCTGCACTCTGCAGCCCCTGCTCACCTGCGGAGCTCATCACCTTTTCACAGGCTCACTGGCCACTTAGTTCTCTTCTGTGAACTGACAGGTGATAACCTTTGCTCATTTCTCCTCTATTGGGTTGTCTTTCTGCAACTGATTTGTAAAAGTATGATACATATTCTGGATAACAACCCTGTTAGTTATATTACTGCATGTATCTTTCCCGTTTATAACTTTTCACTCTTTTTATGGTTTCCTTTGATAAACAAAAGTTTTTACTTTTAATGTAGCTAAATTTATTAATCTGAGATACTTCTGGTCCCAAGCATTTTGAATAAGTGATACCCAACCTGTATAAATTTGGTAACCCTTTTTAAATCAAAATTATGAATACAATTTTCCTATATAGAGAACCAATTCTCCCAGTACCACTTACTGAATAATTCATTTTTAACATTGCCTCAAATATCTGTCTCGTTTCCCGTGTGTGGTTCTGGGTTTGTGCTTCCCATCCCTTTGCGTTTGCCTGTCTCTCCCTGCCTCAAAACCACACTGTCTCCACAGCAGTACATCCGTCTCAGTGCTTGGTAAGGCAAGGACCCTGGCTTTGTTCTTCTTTAAAAATATCTTAGCTCTCTCTGGCTCTTTGCTCCAGCATATGAATTTATTCTGTTTGTTTGATTTAGTGTAATCTGTATGGATTTTCACTGGAATTATATTAATACTAAATGTAGACATTTGGGAAGAACTGACATCTTGCTGTTGTGAGGCTCCCTTACAAAATATGATGGCCCCGTACCTGACTGCAGCTCTAATACTGTTCAGTGATATTTTTCTAGTATTCTCTAGAAGGTTTTAGAAATCTTTTGTTGAATGTATTCCTAGGTCCCTTGCAGTTTTATATGTTGATCCTGGAACCTTTAGAACTCTCTATCAGATCCAGTGGATTATCTGGATAATCTCTTCAATCTCCTTTGTCAGAACAGTTTTATATTTTCCTTTTTAAGTTTCTTTTACCTCCCATTCAATTTTTAATTATTTACTTGTCTTTGAGGGGAGGGAGATCACATTACATTGCCCATGTGTTTAGTACAATGTTGAATAAAAGTGGTGATTAAGGGAATCCTTATTTTGGGTCTGACTAATAAAAATACTTTTGAAGTTTTTGCTATGTGTGTTGCTATAGGTTTTTGGTAGGTATCTATGTTAGGCTGAGGTGTTTCCATCTATCCTAATTTGTTCTAAATTTTTTTTTAAAATATGAATGAACATGAATTTTTAATATTAAATTTTATTCTATGCTTTTTCTGCCATACGATTTTCCTTCTTTAATCTGGCAGTATGGTATATAACATAATATATTCTTGACACTGCTATCCTTGCATTCCTTGGATAAACCTATCCTATGGTCATATATAATATTTTTTTAAAAACATACTTGCTGGTTTTGACTTGCTAGTATTTTACATTTATGGTCATAAGTGAAATCTAAATTTTCCTTTATTGTCCTTGGCAGCTTTGGTAGTGGGGTTCTATTTGCCTCATAAAACAAGCTGTCTGGCTTTCCCTCTTTTTTATCCATTCTCTGAAGCAATCTGTATAAAATGGGATTATCTGTGTCTTGAAGATTTGATAAAACTTTTCTATAAAAACATTTGATCGTTGTGTCTTGTCCAAGTGGTAAATTTGCTATTAATATTAAACAACTTCAGCTTACCTTAACACCAATCGTATCTCCATCTTTCAAGTAATACGGTGCCCCTTGCAAATTGTCTTGCTTTTTCTTCTTTTTTCTCTTGGTCATTTGCTGGTTCTATAGGAAAATGAAACATCTTAAACAAAACTCAGTCAAGTTCTTACTAAATTCCCCATCACTGTGAAAAATTGTAGTTAACCTAATCATTATGCCAATAAACCCCAATTTCTCTGAGTAGCCCCACAACTTTACCCAGCTAGATATTGGAAGCCACTCGAACTTTTCAGGGAAGTATTTGGCAATTTCAATTTTCTCCATAGGAAGAGAATAGAAATGGGCAACCCTCTGCCTCAGGGAGCCGGCAGTCCAGCCTCGGGCGGCGTCCCACACCAAGTCCATGGCCGGAGCGTAGGCCCTCTCCCCCGGGATGCGCATCCGTGTCCTCAGCAGCACGTCCTGGGGGCTGCACCAGAAAATAGGCAAATACTGGACTTAACACAAGCACAATGAAAAGCACGCACGGCAAATGCTGGGGCATGGTGGGCAAGGCTTCCCCTTCGACTTTTCTGGTTTTTATAAGGAGAGATTTTCCTTAAATCCTGAACACTAGTGGAAACCCTTATTCCCCACTTTGATTTTCTTCAATCTTGATAAAGAGCAGAGCGAAGATCCCATTCTGAGTACGCAGCAGACTCCCCTGGAGAGGGTGGGGACCTTCCTTGGTGGGGGGGAGGCCCCAGCCTGGCTGAAGTCCCGGCAGCTGGCGGAGAAGGCTGGTCTGAGCAGATGGCCGTGCTCTGGATTTGGGGTGCATAGGGTAGCGGGGAGAAGCTGCCGAGGGTTACAGTTGGGAAGAGAGACGCGCGGTGGGAGACACAGCACTGCAGGAGCACAAGGAGAGACTCGGCAGTGGGGAGTAAAAGAGAGGCGTGTAGAGGTGTCACAGGACACGAAGTAAAAGCTACAGACAAGAACTGGAAGGCAGAAAAGGGGAAACAAAAACTGTTTAAAGACGTGCAGACAAGGAGTGATTTTAAATGCTGTGTTTCTGCTACACTGGTGTTTACGACAGAGCAAGCGAGGCTGTGGAGAAGAGGACTCGCTGGCGGAGGGGGCAGGAGGATGTGGGCGCAGCTGACTGGCCTCTCAGACTGCAAGAGGGGAGCTGCGACCGACTGGGATCCCAGACGCTGGGGATTTCTGGGGGCTGTGCAGCCGCACCTGTGCACAGAGGGGCCGCTGGCCAGCAAGCCAAGCTGAGGGGCTTGGGGACAGAGATGCCCCAGTTGCCAAGGTGACAGAGGCTGCTGAAGAGGAAGATGAGGGCAGAGACCTCCCTGAAGGGCTGGAGAGTACCCTGGAGGTTGGCCAGGGACAGGAGAGCCGGGGGACGCCTGGGGCGGTGCACAGCTGCTCTTCGGAGCCAGAAAGGGCACTGCTTACAACAGACGTGACAAAGGGTAAACATCGTTCTTGTATGAAGTGTTCACACACGTTACATTAGATGTTTTCCTAAGACCCCCATTAGGAAAACAGGCAAAATATATGAAACAATTCATTCACCCTCTCACAAGACACAAACAGTTTATAAGCCTTTGAAAAAATGTCAACCTTGGTAGCAATCAAAGCACTGGAGCAAATGAGAACGAGATAACCATTTTCATTTATCAACATCTGAACAGTGAAATATTCCACATTGGTTTGAGGGTGAGGTGAATAAATGCTCATAAACGCTGGGGAACGTACATTGGGACAACTTACCTGAAAAGAATTTAATTTATTTTAAGAGGTTTAAAATGTCCATACCCTTTGATCCAGGAAATCCCCTCCAGGAAACTACTCCTGCTCAAAAAATTTATATTAAGGCTACATTTTTTATTTTTAAGAGACTAGGTCTTGCTCTGTCACCCAGGCTGGAGTGCAGTGGCACGATCACAGCTCACTGCAGCCTTGAACTCCTGGGCTCAAATGATCCTCCTGCCTCAGCCTCTTGAGTAGCTGGGACTACAGGCATGCGCCACCAGGCCTGCGTATTTTTTTTTTTCTAGTTTTTGTAGAGATGGGATCTCACTATGTTGTCCAGGCTTGTCTCAAACTCCTGACCTCAAGTGATCCTCCTGCCTCAGCCTCCCAAAGTTGTTGGGATTACAGGCATGAGCCACCGTGCCTGGCCTAAATTGTTCAATTTTTGAAGAGATGGAGTACCCCCCGCCCATGATAGGTATGCATGACTTATATGTGCAGTAGAATTTCTTACCCCAAGTTTTCTTCTTTCTGAAGGGGCTCTAAGCAGATCTCTGTTCTCCGTCCTAGTTTATATTCCCTGATAAGCGAAAGAAAATAACAGAGTGACATGCCATTTAATCTTTTAAAACAATTTTTTACCAATTTTAAGCTATTTTTTTTTAATGCAAAGGATTGTTTTCTGAATACCATATAAAAACAGAAAACTTTTGAAAAAAGAGGAAGACTAGAATACATCCTGTGGTGATTATATACTTGGGGCATTTCTTAATAAATGTGGAAGTCTGGCTCTATAAAGATGGCCAAATTGATAAAGAAAGTTCCTTTTGTTCAGCCAGGGTTTGGATTCTAAAGCCAGTCAAGTGAAGTGAAAGGAGCCCTCAGGGCTGCTTTTTGCAAAGGAAACTAACAACTAGTTAATGCCCCAGCTAGCCTTTCAGTTCAAAGTTCCAGGAGAGCCAGCTGAGTCACACCTTTCCTGAGTGAGAACCTGCTCACTCCGCCTTCTACTTCATTCCAAATTAAGTTATGATAATGTCACAGTTTCTGGAGCATAGAAAAAATACTCAAAGCTACATTTATACTTAATATGGAAAGCTGAAATCATACTAGGGTTTATGATGAAAAGCATCATCCAACTAACATTCCTGGAATTACCAGGAATGGGGTGTGTGTCATCTGACACAAAAGACGGATCCCTCCACCAAGCCCTCTCGCCGCAGCGCTAGGCAGGAGAGAGGGACAGCTGCGTGCCCACCTGACCACCTAGGAACCTACTTGAGCGGCTGCCGGTTGGTTCGTAAAAGCCTGCCTGGGCGCTTACTCTCCACCGTCCAGGCTCTGAGGAAGGCTGGGGATGGAACACCACACTCCAGGAAGGGGGGCAACGTCATGGCCTAGAAAAAGAAACAGACATTTCTCCAACGGTTTTACAAAACACTCTTAAAAATATAACTGCTTCAGAAAAAAAAAGCAGCACTGCACAGTGACACTGAGGGAAAGAGTCCTCAAGTGATGATAATGATCAAAATCTATTTTGAATCATAAGAATATCCATCTCTTAAATTAATCCTGAGTAATTTTTGTACTACATTGAAATCAGCTTGAGAAAGGAGATTTTTATTTCTAAATGAGCCAAAAGCTAATTTTTAATCATGTTCCAAAAATGAAACTTTAGAATTAATTTCCATGGGAGTATAATTCACAAGAGCAGAGGCTGCTCTAATAAAAGCCTGGGCTTCATCTTCAACTTTCGTCAGTGCTAATATGATTCTCCAGTGTTTGCTCTGCCAGTGAAGTAATTTTGATTCTGAAATATTTCAGAATCTTTGGCTTTAACTAGGAGGCCCAAACTATGTGTTCTAATTCTGCAGGGGTGGATAGCTTTAAGCCCCTATTTATATTTAGGTTGAAGTATATAAAGTTGCCAACATGAATCCATTTTTTTTAATCTTAAAACAGCATCTTTCAACCTAATACAAGAAAAAGTATCTTCCCACTTGTTCTCACAAGGTTATTGCATATATTGAGGACACATAAAAGCCAAATATCAACAAATGTCAGTCATATATATGCCTCCACATTTTTGCCTTTGAGAGAAAGAAGGGATGTTCATTTAAGTCCAACAATAGTAAGATGCTTCTTCAACACTGTGTTGTACTTAATCCAGCCTTTCCGTTTGGACAAAACCCTCCTCTGTGAATATTAATGCATAAGAAAACAATACAATATCTAGTTTAGGATTCTAACATAAAAACTGATATTCTGACCTCCTGGGAAACTGATAACACAGCTTTTCATAACAACATTTAACATGGATCACAATGGTACAAAACAATGTAAATAAAGGGTAAAGTGAATGCTTTACAAATGTTTCAAGAAACCATGTTTCCCTATAAAATAAAAATGAACAGAAGCTGCAAGTCACTGAGGATAGAGTCAAACAAAAGCACAGCATGCCTGTCAGAGTGGGGATCAATGAGGGCCACGAGGAGCTGTCTGCACCGTGGGCGTGTGCTGCCTGCTGGGTACTTACCACTGAACATGGCATATGACAAATGCCATATCAGAACAGACTGTAATTGGGGGAAAAGGAGATAGAAGAATATATTAATATCTCACTCTTTGGAAGAAGCCATATCACCACTAAGTTACACTGCAGGAAGAAGTCTGACCTGAGACTTCAGATCCGCCAGCACAGCATCTTCTGAGATCTCTACGTCTCCCACATAGAGGACACAACCTTCTGCGGGCACGTTCCCGGGAGCACCTGCCAAAGGACAGAGGTGGATGCTTAGAAGGACCTTTAAACTTATTTATTTCATATTTCTGAAAAACACTGCCACGTTCTGATACATACATAGGTTTATTATTACATTCAGGAACCTCTGACTCTGGGTCCCTCACGACTTCAGGGGGCAGCAAGCACAGCCTGGTCGGGGAGCAGTCGGGGGCGTGCTGCTGGCAGACCACCACAAGGAACTTGACACTGATGCCGTCTACCTAGAATGTTCTTTCCCACATTCTTTCCTTCTTCAAAGGCTTTGTTGGTAGGATACTGCCTGTGTCCTTTATATTATATCCTTTATATTATATTATTATATCCTTTATATTATATTATATGCCTGTTTCTTTCTCATAACACTGACCACAACCTGTGATTCTTTTATCCATCTTCCTGTGTGCATGTGTGTGTTTGTGTGTGTGTGTTTAATCAGCCTCCTCAAAACAATTAAGATTTCCAAGAGGGAAATCTATCTTGTTCATCTTCTCAGTGCCTGGTGTGGTGGGTGCCACACAGTAAAGGCCCAATAAATGTTTATTGAATGAAGGAAATCTTGACAATAAGAAGAACTTTCCAAGTTTGTATGAAAAAGGGGAAAACAAAATCATGGGTCATCAAAAACTCTGAATCTAAAAAAGCTGGTAACTAAATTTTAAATTTGGAATATCTTTACTCATTTTTGCTTTAATTAAATATCTTTGTCACTAAGCACACTACTAATACATAATAAATTATAGATAGATCATAAGTGAATTAAGTGCATTAATAGTTCTTCTTGTGTCTTAAGGAAACTACAGGACACACTTAGGAAATTCTGCAGAATCAAATATATAGTCATGTGACACACAACTAAGTTTGGGTCAAAGATGGACTGCATATATGATGGTGGTCTCATAAGATTATAATACTGTATTTTCACTGTCCTTTTCTATGTTTAGATGTGTTTAGATACACAAATACTAACCTTTGTGTTACAAGTACCTACAGTATTTAGTACAGTAACATGCGGTGCAGGTCTGTAGCCCAGAAGCAGCAGGCTATGTACCATACAGCCCAGGTGTGCAGTAGGCTGGACCACATAGGTTTGTGTAAGTACACCCTGTAATGTCTGCACAGTGAGGAAATCCCCTAACTACACATATCTCAGAATGTATCCCCATTGTTAAGCTACACATAACTGTATTTCCCATTTTTTGTGATATAGAAATGCTACCAAAAATGAACCTTTTTCTTTACTTACATGGAGAAACATACTGATTAAACATGCTTTTAAAATATGATATGTAACTAGTATTCTATTACTAAAACATTTTTCAGAATTAACATGATCTAATATAACCCAACTAAAATATAACTTTAGCTAATTTCATAGCTGATTCAACATATTTTATAACTCTATACATATAATCCAAACTTCACAGAATAAGGATATAGGATTTGACTGACTTATATTAATTTCATTACTGAGGTTTAAATGATAAAAAGAAATATAAGAATATAATACTCCAAGGCACTAGAAAAGATAAATAATTAAGTATAACATGATAAATAGAAAAAATATAGCTAACAAGTTGGGCCTACTAAAAATATATTCTTTTCATCTACAGTCATGAATACAAAAGAGATTAAATTGTGTGTTCTTTATAATGAAGTAGAACTCTTCTTTGTATTATACAAAGGCAATTCAACTCACTGCTAGCAACTTCTGCCCACTGTGATGTGTACACTGAATTTAGAGTAAGACAACATGTTTACACTGTCTATATTTCTTCGAAGAAGTCAGTGAAAAGATTCCCTAGAAGCAGTTCCTGAGGGTTTTGGGGGTCAAGGCAGAAAGATGAGGAGACCAGGATGCAGACTCCTGCCTTGGTCTCTGCCCCGTGGCTGTGGTGAGGTTAGTGGAATTGGGTGAAGCCTCAATACCCTGGTACAGGATAATAAATGGGACTGCTACTGCCCTGAGGATCTTGACAAATGACATATAAAAGATCTTTGAAAAAGAATAGATTGATATAATAATAAACATAACAATAATAAGATATATAGTGTTTTACAGAGGTTACAAAGCACCGTATAAAAATAGGATAGGGTTATTACTATCAAATGACTTACCTTATAAACAGGTTAATTTCCAACCTTACACTTTTTTTTTTTTTTTTTTTTGAGACAGAGTCTCGCTTGTTGCCCAGGCTAGAGTGAGTGCCGTGGTGTCAGCCTAGCTCACAGCAACCTCAAACTCCTGGGCTCAAGCAATCCTGCTGCCTCAGCCTCCCGAGTAGCTGGGACTACAGGCATGCGCCACCATGCCCGGCTAATTTTTATATATATATTAGTTGGCCAATTAATTTCTTTCTATTTATAGTAGAGACGGGGTCTCGCTCTTGCTCAGGCTGGTTTCGAACTCCTGACCTCGAGCAATCCGCCCGCCTCAGCCTCCCAGAGTGCTAGGATTACAGGCGTGAGCCACCGCGCCCGGCTCCAACCTTACATTTTAAAAATAAATATTTCAGTTGCCTCAGAGCAGAAGCAGTCATTTTACTTTTCTTTATGACGCTGGCAGCTGAAATTTCTGTCCTCACCTTGGGTGGAAGCAGCTCTCCACACCCTGCCTTGAGAAGGAATACAGTTGGTCTGGTCCTGATGGCTTTCCCAGTGTCCTGAGGGATCCCAAGGCTGGTACCACCAGATGGGCACCTTCAGGAAACCCTGAAGAATGGAGGATTTTTAATGAGGTGATTAAGTGAACCTTCACTTTTACTCCCATAGAGAGAAACTGTCTTGATGACATAAAATGTTCTTGAATTTATAATTTTCCTGATAGATTCATTAACTGTCATAAATTATAGTTGTTTATTCTTATAATCAACAATTTAAAATCAGAAAAATCAGACTTCGGGGTTACTGGACTAAATATGTTCTTTGCTTAGAAGTATGTCAGTAGATAGATGAGGGACATAAACAGTAATAAAACATTTGCCTGAAACACTGCACCGATATTTCCAGGCACCATAGAGCACTGCTGGCACAACACCAGTCACGGCAGCTCCATTTATTACAGAGAAGCAACCGCCTACTGATCTAGGTTGGACTCCTGCATACAAACCACATGAAATAAACCCACTGCTTTATACATACCCTGTAACTTCAGTTTTACTAATTTAGCTAGTTATTCCCATCTTTTTTTGTTAGTAAAAAACTTTGATAGCTTTGTTAAGAGATTAAAGATGTTATTGTTACAGTGTTCAATTTCCAACAACAGAAAATGAGAATTTGAAAAATAATCATGCAAAATATTTTAAATATATAGTTTAAGAAATGCACATTAGAATATTTTTCAGTTTATCAAATTGGTGAAGATTAACAAATACCCAACCTGCATTCAGTTAGATAAATGTAACATCAGAACAACAAAATTCCATTTTTTTCACCTGGAAGACTGTCAAAAACCAGAAAGTCTAATAACATTCTATGTTGGTAAAAGTATGAGTAAACTTGGACTCTTGTAAGTTGGTGGCAGGAATATTTACTGCTGCAAAGTTTTCAGAGAGTAATTTGGCCACATCTCTCAAAATTTAAAACGTACAAGTCCTTTGACCCAGCCATTCCACATTTAGGAATTTACTTTCTGATACGCTAGTGCATGCACAGAAAGCCATGTATGTGAAGACATTCATGCAAATTGGTTATGGGAGCAAACCCCTGACCCAACCTCAAAGTCCCTTTTTAGAAGACTGGTTACATTATAGTAAGCCATAACCATAGCTCGGTACTTTTGACCAAGCAATTTCAGTTCCAGGAATTTATCCTGTAGAACTACTCATATACACACAAAATGGCACATATATGGTTTTTATACTGTATCAGTAAAAGATGGGAAACAACCTACATATTCTTCAAAAAGAGACTGGTTCATAAATTATAGTATCTGTATATAGTAGAATATTATGTACCTACTAAATAGACTGAAATAGCTTTATATGTCCTGGCACATAGCATATGCTTGGGAGATAAAATATTAATGAGAAAACCCAGGTACAGAATAGGTGTCTAGCATATTATCTTTTGTGCAAAGAAAAAGGAATATATATATGTGTGTGTGTGTCCATATATGCTATGTATATACACAGACACAAACACGAGCATGTGCATATGTGTATACTCAAAAGTACAGACCTCTGGAAGGAGACAGAAGACACCATTGTCTGTGGGGAGAGGATGCTAGGTGGCTGGGGGCCAGGGATAGAAGGAGGGATATGTACTTTCCCTGGCCCAGCTTTTTATGTACTTGGAATTTTGTATCATGAGTATTACCTCTTCAAAAATTAACTTTAAAGATCACTTTACAAAATAGAATTCTACATGAAAAGCAAGTCATGTAGAAAAGGTAGTTAGAAAAGGAAGACAGTAGGAGGTCTGCATGTGCAGCATGTGGTCTGTGTGATGAGATCCCCAAGATTTATTAAGTGAATAAAAACAACCAAACAGGTGTACAACAATGTGGAGAATATGATCTCTTTATGTAAACTTTTAAAAGGACATACATGTTGGGAAATAGGCTAAGAGACATGAAAAGATTTCAGGAGTTTTGCAGGGCTTTGCCTTGAAGGAATCTGTAGACATGTTAGTTCACAGAATAGAAGTTGCTTCCAACAAGGGGAGCATTGCCAGAGGACGTTTGCAAAGCAATGTTTCTTCTTTGCCGCTGGCCATCACCTTGAGCTTTTTTGCAAGGCAGAAGCTCGGTTTGGGTCCTTGGCAGAGAAGCTGATTAAAATGCCTGCCCAGAAGATAATGTGCAGCTGGAACTATCCTAGACTTCAAGGCTATTCCTGCTTCACTCCTGACTACATGTCTCTCTGTGTTTAGAAGAAGTAGATTAGAGTAGTACACAGACTCAGTGTTCTCATTTTATATATTTTATCTTTAATTTGTATGCTCAGCTAGGTCTGTTTCTAACTTAGGGCTTAACATGCTTATCTTAGAAAAACTGTTTAACCATCTATTCTTATAGACAAAATTAGGTAAGGTTCCCCTGGAAACCTCAGAAAATGAACTGCATACGAAATTCTCTAACAAAAGACAATGATTTGCTGTAACAATAAATACTGATGTGGGACTTCACTTGTGGACTCAGCTTGTGGGAACGCTGATGACCCCGTAACTCCCCCATCATTTAAACTGCACTTCGTCTCTGTCTCAATCACTTCTCCGTCTACATCATTTCTTTGTTTCCTATTATTTCCAAATCCCTTGCGATGATCCTGCCTTGGGACCTGTTTTGCTGGGAGAGTAGCTAACTCCTGGCACATGCACATGTTTACCTTCAGCATACACATAAAGTAATGTTTTTCTCAGAAAGATATAAATACAAGGAAAAATAAGTTAACTGTCATTCTCTCTAGAGAGAAAGATGTGGGAGTGACTTTTGCTTTTTGTTTCCTAACTTTCTGTGCTGTCTTAATTTTCTATTCATATCCTTGCAAGTGGTTACCTAAGTACTGGAATTCTGGGCCACTTTTTTTCCTTCGATCTTTATAGGTATCCACATTTAAAAGAAAGAATAAATATTGGTTTTAAAATGTAATAATATATAATGTTCATGAAAGAGTAGTGAAATGAGCCCTTTCATATACTGCTGGATAGGACTGTAAATTTGGTACAACCTGTTGGGAAAACAGTTTGGCAATATATTGCATCAGGTCTTTGGCAAGTTAATGACTTTTGACTTAGTAATTCTACCTTTGAAACTTTAAGAACAATTTATACTTAAGTACTATTTACTATTTATAAAAACAAACTAAATTTCCAACAATGGGGATATAGGTGAATTAAACTGTGATAAATCATTACCTTGAATATAATGATTGTTTTTGAATTTTATGCTCAAATTAAGATGTTAAATGTGAAAAGTAGGAAATAAAATTTTATATACAATTGATTTTAATTTTGTTTAAAAATATTTATAGGGGCCGGGCGCGGTGGTTCATGCCTGTAATCCTAGCACTCTGGGAGGCCGAGGCGGGTGGATCATTTGAGCGCAGGAGTTCGAGACCAGCCTGAGCAAGAGTGAGACCCCCGTCTCTACTAAAAATAGAAGGAAATTAGCTGGACAACTAAAAATATATAGAAAAAATTAGCTGGGCATGGTGGCCCATGACTGTAGTCCCAGCTACTTGGGAGGTGGAGGCAGGAGGATTACTTAAGCTCAGGAGGTTGCTGTGAGCTAGGCTGATGCCACGGCACTCTGAAGCCCAGGCAACAGAGTGAGACTCTGTCTCAAAAATAAAACAACAATTTATAGGAAGGATATATATCTTTTGGGAAGATTGAGGTATTTATTCTCTTTATGACTGTCTGTATTTCCCCATTTTCCCACAATGAGTATACACCATCTTTGTAATCAGAAAACAATAACTATTACTTACAAAATGTCTATTCAGAAGCAAAATCTTACCAGAGGAGGAAGTTTTCCTTCCATTAAAAGCAAAGTATCTCCAGAAGATATCATATGCTCTTTCAGTGTTGCATCCTGGGAATACAGAAATTCTTTTTTGTCACTTATGACTTCTGAAAGGAACAAACAGAGCATTGGACCTTTTTAACCCTATGCCTCTATTACCTTTTCAAGTAACAAATGAATAATAAAGCAGATATTGAAGACATAAGAAATTAGCTAAGACTAGCAGTACAGCATATATTAAATTGTGGGGTTTAAGTTGTAAGTATCATAAAAGATCTGAGGGAAGGGAGATGGATGAGATGAGAAATGATGCGAGACTAATTTATAGAAGATGAAATTTTAGTTACACCTAAAAAGATAGGTTGGATTTAGAAATCTAGAGGAAATAAGAGAAGAGAAGGAATTTCTCATGAAAAAAAAAAAGAACAGGGGCAAAGTCAAGGTTGATAGTAGGTATGACTTGTTTTGTAAAGAGTTAAGAGACTAGACTGACTAGAATGGGAAGTACCAGTGGGAGAGCAGCAGGAAATAAAGCTGGACTGGAAGCGTAGTTGCAAACCCAAGGGATGTGGAATAGAAATAAAGGAGCCAGGCAAGATTTCTGAGGATTATATTTAAAGATCAGTTGGGCTGCTCCATGCATGACATACTGAAATGGGAAACACCTGAGCCCAGGGGAAGCCAATGTAGTAATTTAGGTAAGGGGCAAAAGAAGGCTTGAACCCAGAGTTCAGCAGTGGGAATGACCAGGAAAGGAGTGGAAAAGCTGACATGCCTTTGGAGGCAGAAAGGAGACATGAAGTATCAAAGGTACGCAGGGTAAGCCGTGTTTTAGTGTGAAAGATTAGGGTGGGAAAGACAGATGGGAAATCTGGAAACAGAAGCCAGTTTTGAGGGTAATGAGTTTGCTTTTAGATGAGCATTTGATACTGATTTGAAAATTAAAGAAGAAAATGCTGAAGCGATTTGAGTAAATGTATTCTTCTGACAGCCACACACTGTATGTCCTGAAGATTCTTTGAGGTTCACTTCTTGTCCCAGGCAAACTCCTTGAGTCAAGGCTCAAAAGGAGCTTGTTTCTGTTGACTTACTGACTGCTAGACAGCGGAGAGTGTTGAAGGGAAGGCCCCAGCACACTTGCTTAAATCAACCTTTTGTTGACATTCAATGCCACTGTCTTACTGAACAGAAAGCAGGCAGGTAAAGACAGGGGAAAAGGGCAGCTGACCACAACTATCCAAGCTTTCTCACAAAGCTTCACTTTGGGTCTACTTCTAAGGCCATGGGTTTAGACCGGGAGATTTGATAGTTTGATGCTATCTGGACCAACAATAGAAGAATAACCAGATTCTAACTATCTTGTGATAAAATTATTCCTAAGTCTACTTTAAGAGTTTGGCTGGATCTAGAGTTTGGACCAAAGCCTAAGTGATTGCTTGGTAAGAGGAATTCTACCATCATTAACTTAGAGAAACTCTGAGATTAAAATATTCAGGGGTCAAAATTCAGAATGTATCTTCAAATTCTTTCATTAGTTGAAAAGTTGTTTATTCTCTGAAGTTCTCTGCCTTCTAAAGAACTCCTCCTCCCAGGAGCATGTTCTCACACTCATCAGAAGGGGATTTATTGCAGATACTAGGAATGTTCCCACCTAGCTGAGACATTCCCTCCATCAAAAAACTACAGTAAGAAAAAGTGAAAATAGACACATTCAGAGATGTTTGTATCCTATAGAAAGTAATTAAAGCTTTCTCATGAGTAGGGTGGGCGGGTGGGTATCTTGCATGAAAAGATGAAATAGAGGAAATAAGAGAAGGAATGCATGAAATACGATATAAACTTAATCATTTTTAAGAGTAAAATGTATAGAAATAATCTTACTTCTTCACATAAAGGCTCCCCAGCTTCATAGCACCAATCCATTTTTCGCAAATGCCATGTATCTCCTATAAAGGAATCAAAATCAAGATGAAAATAAAACCAGAATATGTTGTAAGAGTTTGTCAGGGATGGCCCTTCTAGATAAATGAATATCAAACCCTAGCAAAAGTTAGAAATCTTAGTTATTAAAAATAATAATTTATAAACCAAAAATTTCCCCCACCTACCAAACACATCTGATGGGAATAAACATAGGTCTCATATTTATGTCCACAGGCCACAGTTTGTGAATGCAAATACTCTTTGCAGACCCTCTTTGTCATTAGTTCTAGTTTTAAGTACGGTAATATTTATATCAACTTTTAAATTTAATTTAAGTACCTTAAAAAGTCACCAATAAGTTAAAAGTGAACACTATTACTTGACAGCATAGCAAGGTGGAAAGAACTCAGGTTCTGAAGGCAGAGAGACCTGGCTACTTGCCGTGTAACTCTGGGTAAGCCATTTAACCTTTCTCAGCCCTTGTTTCTTTGTCTGTCAAATGGGAATGGGTGGTAACATCTGCATGGTGGGATTGCTGTCAAGATTAAACGAGACATCGCATGTACACTTCCAGAAGAACGCCTTGTACCCAGAGCATGTTAACTTCCTTTCCAGATAACAAAGGCATAGGCTTCCACTGTCATGAAGTTTGAGAGCAGCACAGGAGTCTACTGAAAGCAGAATGGGGCACCATCCAATTCGCTGACACGATCCCACCCGGAAAGCTACTTCAAGTTATCTTGGATTTATTTTTTTCATTCATATTACATTCCTAATGCATTGAAATTCTGAATCAGTGAGATTCAAAAAACAAATGAGTGAAAGACCTGAGTGATTCCAAGTGGTATAAATCTTCCTTTTATTTATTTTGTACCTTTGCTGGACCCTATCAAGGTTCTCTTCACTGAGAGCTTGAAATAAGAACCAGGAGAATTCATTATGTATATACAGAAATATTCATTACTTTTTTTCCCTCCACAATCCTGTAAAAAGTTTTCCCCACAATCCTGGAGGGGAAAACACTTGGAAAGTGTTCATTAGGCTTATAGATAATTAATTTTAAGTAAACGCTGTAGATAAGATTATATCTTTGTGGTAAGCAGCTTACCTGGTAGGCCAGATTTCTCCAGCATTATCTTTAAACACTGTAAAAAAAAAATTATGTCCAATGTTAGTTTTCCAATTCTGAGTTATAGTTCTAGAAGAAATACTCTTTGACCTATTTAAGTCGGACTATATTTAATAACTGTTGAATAAAGATACATACACACAGTTAAGAAAATGATAGGCAAGTCAGCTTTCCTTGTTAAGAGCTGGGTGGGGCCAATTGGAGGGGGGGCACAATAGTTTTCTAGTGTTTGCAACCAGGACTTAGTTCAAAGTTTCATTCACTGACTTTCAGGTCTGAACCATGATTTCCTTCCTATGAGATTAATGGTGTGTATTTAACCAAATATGATTAATTAGGCTGATTTCATAGACATGCATTAAACTCTGAATCCTATAAAAGGAAATTAGCCTTTATTTAGCATTCATCAAACACAACTGATCATAGAAGAACTCACACGAAAGAACTGTGCAAGTTGTGATTTCTTGTCACAATGCAAAAATGAGACAATATTAGCAAAAATTTAAATAAAACAAAAATAATAATCAAAACACCTACAGTTTTGAGGGAAAAATATTCCTAAATAAATCTTGGGCAAAAAGTAAATAAAATATAATTTCTCTGGGCACAGTGGCTCACGCCTGCAATCCTAGCACTCTGGGAGGCCAAGGAGGCAGGAGGATCACTTGAGCTCAGGACTTCCAGATCAACCTGAGCAAGAGCAAAACCCTATCTCTACTAAAAATAGAAAAAATTGGCTGGGCATGGTGGTGCATGCCTATAGCCCCAGCTACTTGGGAGGCTGAGGCAAGAGGATTGCTTGAGCCCCGGAGTTTGAAGTTGCAGTGAGCTATGATGAGGCAGGCCACTGCACTCTAGCTGGGGTGACAGAACAGAAAAATGCCTCAAAAAAAAATTAATTTCTACTACACTAAAGCAAAAGGGAGCAAAAATAAGGATAGTCACTGCCACACTGTTTGTAAAAAGAAAAAAAAGGCAAACAATCAAAATAGCCATTAATGGGGGAATGTTTTAAAAACACCAGGACATCTCTTAAAGCAGTTCAAAGAATAAAATAGATTTAAATGTACTGGTCTTAAAAGATCTTTAAACTATTTCAAGTTAAATGTAAAGCTTTAGTACAACACATGCAGCCTGATCTCATTTATGATTTAAAAGAAACCACACATGAAGGGGGAGGAGAGCATGGGCAATATATGTAACCTTAACACTTGTACACCCAAAATACGCTAAAACAAAAAAAATTAAAAAATTAAAAGAAACCACACAAACAAATCATGCTCTTCGTTTCTATATGTACTCTCTCAGGTACATTCTGGTAGGAGCACAGCAAAGGTCTGAAGGGACACATGGGCTACTGAGGTGGACAAGATTATATTAACTGATTGCAACAGTAATTTTTAGAGAAGGGTCTAGAATAGGGTGTGAAAAAGGGGGGAGTTTATTTTATTTTTATTGAGACAGAGTCTCTCTTTGTTGCCCAGGCTAGAGTGAGTGCCATGGCATCAGCCTAGCTCACAGCAACCTCAAACTCCTGGGCTCAAGCAATCCATGCGCCACTATGCCCGGCTAATTTTTTTTTTCTATATATATTCGTTGGCCAATTAATTTCTTTCTATTTATAGTAGAGACGGGGTCTTGCTCTTGCTCAGGCTGGTTTTGAACTCCTGACCTCGAGCAATCCACCCGCCTCGACCTCCCAGAGTGCTAGGATTACAGGCGTGAGCCACCTCGCCCAGCCAAGGGGGGAGTTTTAAAAGTGAGAATAAATCCATGCTCACTTATATGATTAAAAATAAAATTAAAGAAGGCTATAAAGTACAATTATAGGTTGTTTGGAAAATGATGGAGATGTTGAGGAATGGGACTAAAGCTGTATTCAAAGAAAACAGGAGTCTTAAAGGCTTTCATTACTTAAGAAAAACAACGGAGTATTCAACTTAACTGCATTCCAAGTAGGGGAAACAGCCAGCTTAAAGGCTTTGTTTCAAAAACAGCAAGGATGGGGGATGCATGCATTTATCAGATCAAAACCAGCAAGGAGGCCAGTGACTAGAATAGAGTGACTGAGAGAGGGAAATAGTTGAAGGTGTGAAAACAAAATAAAAACAGTACCAGAGGGCCAGATTACGTAGGCCCTTGTGAAGTCATTCAAGGCTTCAGCTTTTACTCTGGGAAACCACAGGAGGACTGTTGAGTATAGGAGTGACTAATCTCACTAACATTTTTAAGGATCACTCAACTTCTTTGTAAGAACAGACTCTGGGAAATGCAAGGCTGTAAGGAGAGAGATCAGGTAGGAATATGCTGGAATACTCCAGATGACAGATGACAATGGGTTTGACAGGATGGTAGTGGTGGAGGGAATGAGATATGGTGAGATCCTAGATACATTTTAATGATAGAACCAAAACAATTTCCTGCAAAACTGGACATGGAGTAAGAAAGAGAAAAATCAAGGACGACTTCAACGTTATTTGGCATGAGCAAGTAGAAAAATGGAGCTGCCGTTAACTGAAGAAGAGAAAAATGTGAGTGGAGTGTGTTTCAGGAAGAAGAAGAGGAGTTCTGCTGTAGATGTAGTTCTGCTGTTCTTGGTTGGAACAACAAATTAGACAATCAAACGACAGTTAGAAGTTCTGGGGCAAGGTCCAGTTTAAGTATGGAGTTCTGGAACTAGGTCCAGTGTCAGAACTGGGAAGCACAATGCTCAAAAGGTAGAGAGAAAAAGAGGCAATGGCAAACTGAGAAGGGGTACACTAGTGGAGTGGAAGGAAAACCTGAAGAGTTGTAGTCTTCTGGAGTCAAGTGACAGAAGTACTTAAAAAAAACAGAGTCATTAACTGTGTTGAATGCTGCTGATAGAGCAAGTAAGATGAACAGGAAAAACTGCTCACAGGACACAGCAACATGGAGGCCACTGATGACCTTGACATGAGCTGTTACAGTGGCATAGCAAGGTACAAGTTTGCCTACAAGGGGTTTGAGAGAATATGCACAAGGGGATATATATATATCACTCTTTTGAAAAGTTTTGTGGTTTCTTTCATTGAACTTAAAAACTTTAAAGTTAAAAGGCCAATGAAGAATTGGAAAATATTTATAGCATGTAATATAACAAAGGGTGAAAAAATGTTTTATCATGGAAATTTCAAACACATACAAATAAAAGTAAATTAATCCTAAAGTACTTATCACCCAGTCTCAATTATAGGTTGAGTATCCCTTATCTGAAATGGTTAAGACCAGAGGTGATTTGGATTTTGGATTTTTGAATATTTGTATTATACTTACCAGTCGAACATCCCTAATCTGAAAATCCACATTATGAAATGCTCCAATGAACATTTTGAGTGCCATGTCAAAAAGTCAAAAAGTGCTAAAAAAGTTTTATAACCTAGTGGCAGCTCTGTTTCCCCAGAGAGAGCACTATAGTTGTCTGGCCCACATGTGCCCATGCCTAGCCTGACAGCCGTGTGGCAGCACTCCTCTGCCCCCAGAGAGACCGACACATAGTCGTGCTCATGTGTTCCTTGCTCAACAAACAACCTGGCACCTCCGCCTCCAGCAAAACCATATCGCCTTCATCACCCACAGTCTAGGCCACTGAGGTAACTGCAAATATAACTGATAAAGATTATAGCTGAAGACTGTATGGAGAGCACGCTACTGAGTACACCCAGAAACAAAGCCAATGCACCATTCCCAGCTAACAGCCTAGGACCCATCTACAAGAAAAAGCCTTTCCGTATGAAAGCTATTCCATAAAATCAAAAAAAGTAACTGTTCCACTAGATGTGCAGGTATCAATGTAGGGATACAAAAACATGAAAAAACAAGAAAACATGACACCCTCAAAGTAAGAAAATAAGTCTCCAGTAACAGACCTCAAAGAAAAGGATATTTATGAAATGCCTGAAAATGGATTCAAAGTAATGATCTTAAGGAAACTCAGTGAGATATAAGAAAATATATACAAATAATTCAACAAAATCAGAAAAATAATTTGTGATCTGAATGAGAAATTCAACAAAGAGATAGATATCATAAAAAAAGAACCAAACAAAAATCTTGGAGCTGAATAATTTAATGCATGAAATAAAAAATACAATTGAAAACTTCAACAAGAGACTAGATCAAGGAGAAGAAAGACTTTCTGAACTTGAAGAAAGGTCTTTTGAAATAACCCAGTCAGAGGACTAAAAAGAAATAACAATAAGAAGAAATTAAGAAAGCCTATAGAACCTATGGGACGCCATTAACAAACAAATTTTCACATTATAGTAGTGGAGGAGGGAGAATAAATTGACAAAGAAAACCTATTTATTGAAATAAAAGCTGAAAGTTTCCCAAGTTTCGTGAATGATATGGACATCCAGATCTAGAAAGCTCAAAGGTCCCCAACTAGACTCAATTCAAAAAGATCTTCTTTGAGGCACTCTATAATCAAAAGACAAAGACAAAGAAAGAATTCTAAAAGCTACAAGAGAAAAATGTCAAGTCACATAGGAGGGAATCTCCAATAGACTATTAGCAGATTTCTTAGCAGCAACTTTGTAGGCCAGGAGAGAATAAGATGATATAGTCAAAGTGCTGAAAGAAAAACAAACAAACAAAACTGTTGGCCAAGAATACTATAGTCAGCAAAGCTATCCTTCAGAAATGGAGAAATGAAGACTTTCCTAGACAAGCAAAAGCTAAAGGAATATATCACCACTAGACCAGTCTTACAAGAAATGCTTAAGGGAGTGCTACAACTGGAAACAAAAGGATGATAATTACTATCATAAAAACATGTAAAAGTATAAAACTCACCAGTATAGATAAACTCATAATCATACTCAGAATACTCCAGTGCTGTAATGGTGCTTGCTCTGTAAATCTATCAATCCTTTAGTAGGAAGGTTTAAAGTCAAAAGAGTTAAAAATAACAATAGCTACAATTAGTAGCTAACTAACACACAACAGATAAAGATATAAATTAAGGCAACAAAAATGTAAATTGTGGGGGAGAGG